GAGGGTGCGCTTGCGGTTCGTGTGGCTTATCCACTTGACTGGGTCAAATCGGGAAGTCGATTCATGCACAAGCCAAACTCAAGCAAATGATTGGCTGGTCCTAGTCACGCGATCCATACCGAAACGTACAACCACTGCACACGAGGCTCAGCTGCTCAAGAGAAATTGGCACCAATGGCCGCTCGTGGCTTGGTGGCTGAGCGGGGTAAGCCTGGGTAGCGTCCCTGGCTGTCCGCGGTTCAAGTCCGGGCGACGTCGCTCGGCACCTTTTCGACTTTCCCGGTTAACATGTTGCTTCATAGGATGCTACTGCTTTTGCTGAGTCATATAGCACTAAAATATGGTTCACCAAGATGAAAGCAACCTAATGTTCCGAGTGCGAATTCTTAACTATGGTTACATATCCATGACTATAGTTAAGTTTGAATCGAGATTTCCGAAAACAGAAATGTCGAGTTCCTCCAAAGCTTTAACTGCAAGAAATGATGCCGGTATTCAGAAGAAGGCTGTGTGAAGAAAGGCAGTTAGGTGGATACGTTAAGGTTCGCGGATACATTCCATGATGTTGAGATTTTTTATTTTATAAACGTCCTATGGCACGTATTTCACGCGAAGAAGCATAGGTATCCTGAAATAAATTATTAAAATTGCTCCATGCTATTTTCTCGCTTGCGCTGCAGTCCATCTTATGCGCATCAACCATGTAACTCGATTTTTTCTTGGCTTGTGCACAAATGCAATTTGAACGCGCGCGCTTCCTGGCTGGTGCATAACTAACCAATCAGAATGCTGGCTTGTGCATGAATCGCATGCCGTCAGCTTGAATCTCGTAGAGCACTTTGCCGCGCCGGCGAAGGATGAGTCCTGGGGTCCACGTAGGGTTTCTGCCGCTGTAGTGACGAACCAACACTGGTCTTCGCTGAACGAGCGCGCAGCTGCTCAATGCGCAGCCGGTTAAACTGTTCCTCCATTCTGGTGTTGTGGCAGCTAACCTGCCTTTTTTGTGGCCGGATAGTGTCGTGAGTGCGAGCGATAAAGCGGTATCCGTGTGGAATTCCGCCTAACAGCAGACCTTAGTACAATCGTTACACTTAGTTTTGTCAGCTAATTCCCTGGTCCATTGGAGGATGCGGCAGATGAATGGTTCAAACTCTGCGTATTACTGAGCCTTTTTCCAGACGTCCTTCTCGGATATGACGTCCTGGGGGTACATGATAGAGTTGAAATTCCATTCGGTGGTTTCTCTGTGACATCATATCCACGAAATTGGAATATCAATCTCTATTTGTTAGCCTTGATATCAGTCACAAACAGATCGCCACGAAATCCCGTCATACGCTGGAAGACGAACAGCTCATACTAACCGAAGTAGACCGAATGTTCACCGATGGCAAAATCGAAACATCAAGCCCCACTGAAGAGTACAATTGCTCGTAACGCGTAATACAAACCGCTAGAGACGCATGGTTATAGACTACAGCCAGACCATCAATCGCTTCACCGATCTGGACGCTTATCCTTTAGCAAGACTGGACCAAATGATTAAAACCATCGTACGGTGTACCGTCCACAGTACACTGGATCTCCAGATTACATATCATCAGGTTCCAATAATCGAGTCAGATAGACCGTTCACTGCATTCGAAACCGGCACGAACATACACTAATTTCGGCGCATTTCTTTCAGAGTGACAAATGGGGTTGCGTGTTTCCAACGAACGTTAAACAACCTCATCAAGGCCGAACAGGTAAAAGACAGTCGTTTGCATCGATAACGTTGCTGTATTTGGTAAAACAAGAGATGAACATAACCGTAATCTTAAGCGTTTTCTCGATGTCGCGAAAGCACACAATGTTACTTTGAACGGCACAGAAAGCTTCGGAGATTACTCTTTTGAGCTACGAGGTCTCCAAAGGTATTACAAAACCCGACCCAGAACGCATGTGCCATATGAGAGAACTTCCGATTTAACGAAACGGAAAATTGCAGCAGAGAGCCGTTGGTGTGTTCGCCTACTTTTCAAAATACATACGGAGATTTTCTGTCAGAATCCATCCTTTAGTTGAAAACAAAATATTTCTGCTTCCGGAGAGTGTTCGGACAGCATTTGAGAACCCTAAACAAAAAGTGGAGAATGTGATGGTCGCTACTGTCGACTACAACATCGTTCTCACTCTCAAAACTGATGCGTCCACTATCGCTATTGGTTCATCTTTCAGCCAGGGTAACCGGCCGGTCACTTCTTCTCCAGGACCTTGACTGCAAGCGAGACAAAAAAAGCGTATTCTATCATCGGAAGGATAAGCAAATGGTGCCGTCTCATCGGGAGACATTCCAAACTGGTTACAAATCAACGTTCGGTCGCTTTTCTGCACGGAAACCAACAGAATGGTAAAATACTGACGAAATTGAACGGTGGAATAATGAATTTACAGGGTACCACTATGATGTCGTCTGTAGACCAGGAATGAGCAACCGCGTTGCTGATACCGTATCTCGTAACATTTGTGCCAACATCGCAAGGACGGAAAAACTTGAAGGGCTTCACAACATATTATACCCCAACCGACTTTTATTCCGAATCCGTCAAAGACAAGCTTTACGACGTCCTGATTTCCCTGCTGCGGCAAGCTAAAAGCTCAGATACCGTTGTGGTTGCCGGAGATATGAATGCACAAATGATTAGGGTAAGGGTATCTGAGACTCATTTGGACATGGATTGGATTGTGTATGTACGGACAGTGGTGAGCGATTGTTTCAGCTGCGTACTGATCGCAAACTATTTTTGTGCAGTTCTAACTTTCAAAATAACCGAAGCCGTTTGGCCACACGGTATTCTCCAACTGCATGCCGGTCACAAATTCATATTGAACTTATTTCCGCTGGTTACCAGTGGCGCGGATCAGTAGCTGACTGCCGGTCATTTTGGAACAAATTTGTAGATTCCGACCACACACTCGTCCGGAATCGCTTTTCCTGTAGCGGTTGCCCAATCTGATTAGTGCATCCGTGTCCACTGTCTCCCCCTTGCTTTGTTTCGTTCCACATACCTCAACATGCATCACGAAACAACGTTGTTGTTTTTCACGTTTTACTCGACATACATAAGGACAGAACACAGTCGCGACACAGACTCGCGCGCAGGGAGCAAGGAGTCAGCCAAATACTTTAAATCCGCGGACAATTATGGAACCCCCGTAGCAGTTTTACTGCGGAGAAAACTCGTTCCTGCCGTCCGGACTTTCACCAACGGACTCTCACAAACGATGAGTTCCTCATTTGACGTGCACCATATTTCACATTGCATTTATTTTTATACGTGATGCGACTCACTAATATGGACCACTGTCAACCGTAATAATAACTGCTAGTAGTGCATATACTTTCTGCATTGCATTATGGCAACCTGTGCACTAATACTCCCTACGTTCTCGAGGACTGCGTAAGGTGCGGAAAAATCGCTTGGCAACTGAGAGACTGGCAAATCCGAATGTTAAACGAACTTACCAGAATCTCCTAGAGTTTCTTCTAAACGCTCCACCATCAGATGTGAACTCGTACTGGGACGAGATCACCGCCTCTTTACGCATTGCTGGGAGTTTTGCCTGTGGCACGGCGCTATCAGGCTTACTCAAACACTGGATATCAGACCGAAAAGTGGCACTGCTTAGATCTCGGAGAAATATCCCATCCGGTCCCGAACATAACTTGATGCGACAAATTATCAGACGTCAAGTGAAAGTGAGCATCCCAGCCGACAGTGAAGTGTGTTGGACACAGAAAGCCAAGGAGATGGAAGAAACCTAGAAAGTCGGTAATGCTCGAAGATGATTTCAGTTGATCTGCGCAACCGATCCCCGAAAACCACCTGTGAGCGAAATCATCAGGGATCGGAAGGGAGTGACCATCTTGCATAAAGAACGCCTTGACCCGTGGGCCGAATACTTCGAACAACAACTGTCTTGACCACCAGCTGACACTCATCTACAGCCCACAGGCGAAGCCTGAAGCCTGGACGGTGAACGTGGGACCACTTACGGCCTCGGAAGTTTACGAATGCATACGTTCTCTCAAGCGCCACCGAGCTTCCGGTCCGAATGACCTCCCACCCGCGTTGTTCAAAGATGGGGATGAAGTGCTCAGTTGTTCAAAAAGAAATTGTTCAGCTGTAGCACCCTTTCGGTGCCTAACTGTCATTCCACCAGTAGGAAGCACGAGGGATACTGCCCGGTTGTTCATGTCTAGACACGGGGAGCTGAGAGGTAGAGGTCGGGTTCGAATCACGGACCTTCCGGTCAGTGAATCCACGCTCTAACCACTGAAGCCATCTCTTTCACGGTAGATGAACATCGGTTTTTGCCGTCTATGTAGGGTTGTTTATAATGACATCGACGAGTGCACTGTAACAGATCAACTTGTCTCTTGATTTCAAATTGTTAACGGCAACAAAGTCAAACCATTCAGGTGTGGTAGCTTTTCGTTGTACAAAGCAGGGTAAAAAATAATACTCAAGTTTGGTTTCAATCTGACAGCTTGCGGATCGTTAGCATCTGCAAACCTTAATTCCAACAGTTAGTTATGATCCTTTTGTCATTTCAGGTGATTTTTGTCTGAGTTCCCCTTCGCTGCACATTTGATAGTCTCGTACGTATTATATGCTGGATACAATATGAAACCTCTCGGTGAGGATTGGTTCGCTGTGGGCGAGGTGTACTTCAGGTGAGCTCTCACCCTTCTCTTATTCTTTAGGTTTCTGCACCTGTTTGATATGCCCTGGGGAGCAGGGTTTTCTTTCGATCGTTTCAAACTCGCGGTTTGTGATGCATCTGGCCATATAGGTAATCACTGAGTCCTCCCATGAATCCCGTTAATTTTCAGTGATGCTCCTTGACGGCCAACCAGGATGTAAGCCGGTTTTACAAATTTACACAGCTGCGGGCAAATTGGTCTCACAGCAACTAGTCAGTTAACATATTTCATAACCGCCCTCCTCAACTAGTGGAAAGATGCTCCGCCACTGGCTATCGGGTGGTCCATTGAAGAGGAGCTCTTGGTAGTTCAGAAAACTGGCTTTGTATGCATATTGGATCTGTCCGGAAACTTTGTGCGACGATTTACAATGGGACCTGAAGCAGAAGAACGAGGAATTTTGGATGTCAGGTTTTTCAATTTTCATGGGGTAAGTTGCGAAGTCCCGTGAGAGATGAATCGAATGTTTCTGGGCTCGTTTTGACAACCTGCAACTTTTCTGAGTGGAAAACCGCGGCTTTCACTTGTACTCCTTTGAGTGCCTTCTCAATAAAGTTAGAACCGTGCATCCATTTGCAGTACGTTTTCACGAAAACAAGTGACAGAGAGCGTGGATTTCTCAGGACCGTTGATTTAGTAATTCACTTCAGAAGATTTTTATATACTTTCATGCCATTTAATAGGCCATGGTTCTGACCGCTACAGGGGAGTGTCTCCCTAGAATATGAGCTTCTACCCCTTAAATGCTATTTTACAAGGAAAATGTAGCCACTGTGCGCCGCTCAATCGTGCTGAACACGCTGCCTTCCGTGCAAGGCCAACAAGCCATAAGACTTGTTTTTTGCAACCTGGATTCAAGTGCATTCGCTGTCTCACTTGATGTATTTTGGCGCGTCCGTACCTTACGTGTGTCTTGTGTACCGAGTGGCCGTTCCAGTATCCGATCAATTGAGGTGCGTGGTCCACTCTAACAAAATCTTCGGGGAATGAGGACTGCGAACATTTTTCTATTAGGGTCATCGAGAAGGAAAGCAATAACAGCTGTTCAACTGTACATCTTTTTGGTGTAGAGCTGCCGTGCCACCCGAAGGAATTACGGTAGGCGGGATACTGCCAGATTGCCCATGCACGATAGGTGCAGTCGAGTCAGAGTTGTCTTTATTAACGGAATATATATACACTGCCTCAAGATGAGAGTGGCAGCTACATGGAAGATGGTCCTAACCCGAGTCAGTCCGCAATGTTATCTGTTGAGCTACCGAGGACCAGTTAATAGCTAGTCCCCTGTGCAAATATCATTTCGATAACTTTTCCTCTCTCGGTAACCTAAGATTCTTTACGAACGCCTTTGAATAACCAGAACATTAGAATTAATGGTCTTGAAGTGCAGCACTTCAAATTCGACGTTGCCATCTCGTCAGGTACACTGTCTCATCGCACATCAGTGTTCAACACTGGTGCCTCACTGCTGTACAACTGTAATTTTCTGGAGGCATAGTACGTGGAAAGTGATAAAACTGGATTTCGAGGTGACCTAGTGCTAGCCCGTAACAATCATTCCGAGGTATCCACACTCACTCGGTCAAGAGGCATCGAAGCTGACAAGGACAACACCATTAACATTGGTTTGCAATCATTGCTTGCGGTGGCTCCCACCATGCGCAGAGAGATCACACGGACTCCATTCCGGAAGGCGATTCGGGTCGACAGTATCCAGACTCTTCTCAATCCCCTTTACACCCTCCTGTCACCTGTTTACTTGTGTTACACTGTGTTGAACACGCGAAGCAGCACTCTTTTCTGCAAGCCATGATCCGGTATGCGGAATACACTACCGAACCACCTTTTGGTGCTGGATTTTCTGTGATTGGAGTATACAAGTCAATATCCGCTTTCTAGTTGTCTCATTGTGGAGATTTTGGTTTGTTCCATGGAATCTTGAATTCAGAGCTCTGTTGTTTATATATTACACTTGACACGATTACCTTGGAACGCCTGTTGGGTTCCAGCGAGTGCAACTCAACTTGTCAAAGCAAAATCTATAAGAGCCCTGTCTTCCAACTCTAAGCCCATGGGTTGGGTTACGGTCTGGAAGAATGTCTTCAACTGAAGTGTATACTGAATTTCTGATGCTGTATTCTGTTTGCTTGTGATTTTTGCTGGGGATGGAAGTCCCTGACATTAGGATTCGCAGTTCCATGTAAATTTTACGTGATGAATACGACGAACTTCCTGGCACTCTTAAAAAATACGACCGCTATCAAACCGAAAAATATGTAACTTCATCAGTTAGCAAAGTGTTGGCAAACTGACGTTGTATCCTTGGCAACCCTTAGTATGTTTTGTGAAACGATTAAACAGTCACTGTTTCCGAAGAGCTTGGTAACTGTTGCTTGCTAATCGAGCCGTTCTAATAGTGAACTTGTTTCCGCACTACTCGTTCGTATAGTCCCCCTGCCGTAGCACGACTATTTCGGTTGGCTCGCGCAAAACATGAAATATTGGACGTGAGTTTTCCCCTTATTGTAGGTTATCCTTAGCTCTCCCGGGATTTCGAATGAACAGAAACTACCACAGAAACTATTGTTAATGTCGGTAGATGGTGTGACAGTACTTCACATGTATTCTCCACGTTAGGCGTGTTCTGCTTGATTCACTTTACATATTCGTCACAATTTCATATGGTGGCAGCTGATATTATTCTACTTCCCTAATGGATACGAAAATTGCCGGATATATCAGAACCCCATGATTGAAAGTCTAACAGTACAGTACGTTCGGAAGTTGCTTCCTTCATTCAACTGTATTCACTAATCGCAACCTTGTTAACTGCATTTCGGTTTACGGTAGACACCAGTTTTTTGTTTTCTCCTAATGTTAAGTGTTTGTACCTGAAGAACTGGTTGTTTATTATTATACATGAACCGTGGAAAATGAAAACAACTGTTTTTAATGCTAGTATGTATGCATGTTATTGTTTTCCACTGCCTAGTTGTGAGTGACTCCTCAAGTGATGGACAGTTTTTCCCCTATTTCCTTGCAGATAAAGTTATAAATCAAGTGAATTGGAAAACTAATCACCGTCGCGAGTGTTTAGAGTTCATTTATCTCGTGAGAAGCTTTCCTTTTTTTCCAAAAAGTTCTTTTTGACGAGGTTGAGCTGTAATTGGCGTTAATCTTTTATTTATATGGTTGCCTTCCAGCATACTGGTGTTGCCGTTCTCACCGGTGGTAACCGCATATTTCTGACCTCGAAAATCGACACGCCACGCATACGTCGTCTGGCTGAATTATCCGGCCCGACCCAAGCGGTCGCGCTGTGGGAGATTATCACATGCCCATTGGACCTGGGTTCAACAAAAACCGGCTCAAATACAAATGCTTTCCACGGGCCATGGGCGCTGATATCACGAGCGAATTCCCTGTTTCGAGCGGACTTTAGCACGGCCGAGAATGTAAGTGTATCTTCTACCGCACCTATTTCTACAAGAACTCGCGAGATGCTGAAACGATTTGTTTTCACGTATGCCGCCTGTTCTTAGTATCGAACTCATTATTCAGAATGTAACCGTTTGATGCGCGCAGTTGTGGTTCCAAGCAATCTTCCTCCTTAGTTCTTTGCATTTCTAGGAAGAAGTGCGCAACTTTTTCAATGCCTCTTTCTGTATCCTGCAGATATACACCATTTACCTGAGACATTTCTTTTTCGAATTTAGATAGAAATACCTGCCATCACACAAATGAACTCGCGAATTCGTCTGATGGCTGTTTCTGCCAATATGAAGTTTGTTTCCCTCTGTTTGGAAAATGGCCATCTTTTCGTTATGAATCTCCGTATGTCAGAAATCCATTCACAGATCGACCTAACCCAACGCATCTCCGTTTTGCTGCCAACGTCGGAGCTCGATCAGAGCGTTTCACAGTTCAACCATCCCCGTGCAATGTTGTGGTCTACCAACTCAGCGGTTGTATTGCAGTGGACTCATTTGATTGCTTTAGTCGGTGCCCATGGTGATATATACGAGTCGTTCTGCCCTGAAGACATATGGCTGACTCAGGAGGCGAGTTTTCACTGGGAACATCCACCGTTTTTCCTTCTTTCGGCTCGTGTTGTTGCTAGTTCATCATAAATTCAGCGGTGTTATATGCCTGTATACAGAGGAGTCAGCTATGAGGGCACTACCAGTTGTGGGGAAAAGTGCCGTTGCCCGAAGATCCCTGGATAACGAATCCGGTTTAGTAACGGGCCTTGTTCTTTTGTGTAGTACCTTCAGTTGAAAAACATCAGAATCAAAGGATTGAGTTGGGCCACTCGTTAGAATTGAATGAAATCTGCCAATTGATGTTCAAATGGAACATAAGGCTGACGGTAATTGGGGGACTAAGTTTACCTGATGAACTTGGCCAAGAGCAACGAAATCGATAGTCAGAGTTTTTGGTAACCTTGTGAGAAGTGTGTCGTGTAAGCAGTGAAGTGTAGTTTATTTTTCTTGGCTCAGATCTTGCCACCCAATATTCCATTTTCTTTTCCCGTTGAATACATAAATTCCAGGTGCCCAGTGAGGTATTCACTACAAGAAATTGGGGTTTCGATATCTTCTCTCGGGGTGCTTATGTAAAAAATGTAGTGCAAGGTGTATCATGAAGTTTCCTATCATAGCATGTAGGTTATGCAAAAATACTGTTTTTTGTTCGGAATCTAGCATATCTGTCGGGATACGATACAGCTTTTGTTCAGCTTGTTAACGCCCATGTCCGATAAACTTATGATGAGGAGAGCACAACTTCGGCTCGGGTAATCGAGTCTGCCATTTGATGACCAGGATTGGAACCCAATACTGGCTGGCACCACTCGATTGTTTGCTCCCGTCCTGGTAATCTATACACACCTTGTTTCTCCTTTTGAAAACTTCTGGATAATGTGATGTCTTCCTAAACTTCTCCGTTGAGTGTGGGATCCTATCGCCACTCCTGTGCTTCCTGTTACATGCTCTCGCTGTCACGTTCGTAGTGGCTTCTCCAAGTGAGATGACCGCAGCACTTTTGTAAGAATATTTCTCTCCTGCTCGATTTTCGGGTGATGCTGTTTAGTTGTTAGAGCTCACACGCAGACACTTCAGCAGGCTTAAACCAGGCATTCGCGGCGGAGAACTCTACTTGTCTCACTGTGTTGACCTGTTTACTGTGTTAATGAAGATAGCCACCTCTTTTCTGTGGTTTCTTCCTCAGATGGATGCCGTTCGGATGCTAACGCCAACTTCCCACAAACTACTGCAACGTGTTCCACCTGCGCTTGAAGCTTTGGGGCGTATCGGTGCATCGTGCCCAGCTACTTGGCTCCTCTCAGCTAGTGCCAATCTGCAGCTTGGTTCGGGCCGGGCCAATGACTACCTGCTGCCTATCCGTACTTCACGTCAGCTGACCGAAGCAATTTCACATTGTATCGAGGCAGCCAGCCATGCTGTACTTGATCCGAAATGTCAGCAGAATTTGCTGGAGGCGGCTCACATGGGTCGGATATTCTTGTCTGCCATGTTCACGGACCCCGAAGAACGTCCGGATGAGAAAGTTACAAAGGAGCTGTAAGTACCTCAGTTTGCGATAAATATTCCAAACCGACGTTTGGTGTTCGTTGATAATGAAGGTACAGTACGATAGAATGTCTCCTTAAGTCCTTAATTCGGTAGGCTCGTCACTTCATCTTACAGAATGTATTAACGTTTCTAACAAGGGGCACCATATGGGACGGTGTCAGGGAAGCTCTCAACCGATTTTGATGTATGATTGATACTGATGGATGTCTGGACTAGCGGAAGGTCAGTTATTCCTCTCTGCCATATTGAACTCCTGTTTATATCCTCTTCGGCTACAACAGTACTGTATGAAAGAACGGAAATGCACACTGATGATGCCGTTTACTGCGTGGTTAATTTTTCACCTGGTTTTGTGCATCTGGACGTACATTTTTTGGGTTCGAAATTGCGCGTTTTCGCGTCTGTGCATGTTGGGCTGCTCAACGGCCAGACGGGACAGAAAACGAGTTAAAAGATTTTGTTTTGATAGCCGATCTTGAAATAATGTTGTACGCCACTTTTCACAAGTATCTACCGTGTCACTGAGATGAAGGAGAATGAGTTTGTTAGTCCTCTTATTAAGCTAGAACCGATTGACTCCCATTTATTTACTGACCTTTTGGAAGGGGAGTGGAAGAGAGAGAGAAGCAAAACCGTGTAACCTAGGAGCGAGATGGCTCGGTGGTTAGGGCGCGAATCTACTGACCGAAAGGCCCGTGCTACGAACCCGACCTCTGCTTCTCACTTCTCCTCTCTAGGCTTGGCCAACCTGGCCGTATCCCAGCCCTCGCGCTTCCTGCGGGTGGCATGACAGGCACCGAAAGGTTGCTACAGCTGAACGGACCTGCATATAGTTAATTTATTTTCTCCGTAATTGTGCTAAGGGTGACTTCCCGTCCTCTAGAAGTACGCAGAAGTGTCGAAGAAAGATTCTTCTGTGATCTGCTGAAACTTCATCATAATTTGAGCACCGTTTCCGCTTTGTGATATATTCTTCTTTAGAAATCAGTGCCCAAAACTGTGGGTAACATATACCGCACCTGGGGGATCACGTGTTGTTCCACTATGCTACTTCCAGGAGCTGTCCTTCAAATGAAGTAATGTCGGCTTCTTGAGAGCCTCCAAAATCCATCGGGTGGAGTATGGTACACGGGGATATGAAAAATGTTCATCTCAGACTTGTCCCCGAGTGCTTCATGTTTGAGGTGAACCCAAAACCTGTTAGATTAAGGCTACAGTGGGAAATCCGGATGTCATCACATTATCTATCTCTAATTCTGAAAGATGGATAAATCAACCTGGTTTCGGGATCGTTTAGTTTCCTCTATAAATGGCTTCACTTGTAGCTGAATTTTCTTTATATATATATATATATATATATATATATATATATATATATATGAGGCCACTTTGATAATCCATTTAGCTGTTCCGTGCGTAACCCACTACTCAGTACAACTGCTAAAAACTATTCGACAGCACACGACTGGTTTCCACCTCATTGGGCTTACAAGATGGGTGCAGTTACCGCGTTTTAGTCAACCGCCGTGTGTTCTACTTAAACCCAAACTGGCCCACCCAACTAATACTGCATATGCCACTTCCGTGAAAATTTCCTCTCAGCCTTTCCTCACTAGAAGAAACGTAGTTTGATGACAAAGACAGTTTTTCCGTGCGTAACTTAACTCTATGTGAGCGCTCGTCTCATTGAGACGTTCAATCTGCTGATTTTTTCGTGTTTCACGTGTTTATTGCAATCAATTTTCCAACTTATTGCCTTTAGGAGTGAACGCGCTGCTAACGTTTGTCGTTGTTTGCGAGTGTTGAACAACTTAGCCACTCCGTGGATCGGCCTTGCGCTAACCTGGACGCAATTTCAGTACTTGGGTCCCAGACGATTGCTTGAGCGCCTGCTGGCTCGAAAGCACTACCCGATGGCGATTGAGTTTGTGCGAGTCATGCCCGAATCCAAACCACCTGTGGACTGTTCACCACGAAAGTCATCTCACACTGAGCTGGGTATCAGTCTGACACAAGTTTTGGCACACTGGGCCTGTCACAGTCCTAGCGCAGGCATCGAAGATTCTGCAGCCATAAGTGAACGTCTTGCACGAATAGTTGAGCGGATTTATTGTCCCGATAGTTGCCCATCTCCGCTTTCTGAAGTGCCTGGAGGTCCTGCTCGAACAGATCCTGGAAGATTCATACCATCACTTAACGGACGCGCAACGATCGATTTCGCTGATGTGGCTAGTCAGGCGTTGGTTGCTAATCGGGAAAAGGTTGCTGAACAACTAATCGAGTATGAAGCCAGAGCGTGGCACCAGGTTCCGTTGCTGTTGAAACTGGGCCGTTATAATCGGGCGCTTGTTCGGGCCGTGGAAACTGGTGATCCAGAACTTATCGCCGTTGTAGTGGCTGCACTGCAGGACCAGGCAAAGCTCCCACCTGCTGATTTGGCAATGGTGCTTCGACGACATCCGATTGCCATGGCAATCTACCATGAAACATGGGGTAGTGGACCGGTAGCTTCGAGCGCTACTCACAATGCGATTGTTAGCTTTGATCAAGAGGATGATCGAGCAGCCGAAGCCAAGAAGGCCGTACTCCAAGCATATGGGGAGGCAGTAAGTTGGTTGAGGCCATTTTATTTCCTAGTTACTGTTAATCTATCTCCGTTACAAGCCGATATCAGCAGACCATATGAAGGTAATCAGCGCGTTATCCACGCGTGTGTAAAGAAAACAGAAAGCTGTAGTGTTTTCGCAAACAAGTGACAGGGGGCAGCTGTATGTCATACCTGTATCGTTAGGTGTCTCATTACTTATATCATGACGTTCTAATTTTAGTAGGGTTCTATGGGGGGATGGTTTGTGCGGATGATTGCTATTCCGATATCACCTATTTAGTATTCTGTATGGAAGCTTGCACGAACTCCGCCAATGCTGGAGAGAATACGATAGAATTTTGTGCGTGTTGGCTACAACTTACGGTATATCTACCAGCCGATCGTCGCCCAGCGGTCAAGTGTTCAAATTACTAGCCGGAAGGCATTAGGTTCGTGACTTGTTATATTCGCACTGATGATGATTTCTAATGAATATGAAACAGCTATAGAATGCCTCTCGGCTTTCAAGCATAAGTTGGCTTCAATTACAGGACGAAACCATTCAAAATGTCGAAACGTACCTGGAAGTGTTCCTGGAGCGCTGAAATAGCTGAAAGTTTGCACATTATTCTGATTAATGCAACGCCTGTAGAAACCCAAATATATTTTTATCCGCCCTGCCTTAAACTTTGTTTCGTAGTTATCTACCCGCTTGGGTCCAAAATCATCCGTGCCTAGTCCCCTTGTTTGGGGATTTTCGTAGCTTTTGTGGACTTCAGTGCGGCTTATCATGAATGTGCCATCATCGTTCCACCACGTCAGTTGACTAGAGATAAATAACTGTACGGCTAGGTTGATTCCTGGATGAAGTCCACGAACTTTTTTCCAAACAAAATTTGAATAGCATCTATATAGGAAATTATGCGTGATTGTCATCTAGCTAATTGGTTACGATTGACAAACTGTGGCTCACTTTCATCTCCCTTTCCTCCGTACAGTAACTGTTCTCACTGCTTAGAAGTGTACATTTCCCTGGAATTCACAGGAGGGGTCATTTATGTGTCTTTACTTCTTTTCTACAGAATTTGCAGCTTCGTTTGAACGCCATGCAGCGCGCTGAGGAAACGTACAAACAGTTGAAGAATGACTTCATGTCCCAGGTATTTCCTCATGTTTTTCATTGAACGTTTAACCACAATAATAAACTTTAGTACCTTAGTAGGTAGACATCATCAGCCTGCTATGGGCCTTTTTTGTTCTTCACAGCCAACCATCTCAGTGTCATCTAGGTTCGTCACTACACTTTGGAAATTTTGACATTTTGACTGTGTTCTCAACGTTTTCGGGAGGTGTGGAGGTTTTCCATCAAGAGGAATTGTTGCCACATGCCACCAACGAAATTGTCCATACTATGATCCGTGTGGATCAACTCGCCACCGTCGACTACGGTATCCGCATCAGATGATAAAGCGGATATCCCGCACCATCAGACTGTCTGTCTGCCTGATCAACTTGCTCAATCAAAATTGGAAAATGTCGACAGTTGAGATTCGTAACCTATACGGAATCAAAATCCAGACTAAACCAGTGCGACTCAATGGTAAAATGGTGACTCAAGTCCAGCTGTAGATGTTGTCCACCGTGCACTTTCAGACAAAATCTTCACCGAAAAAGACACTGAGCCAACGGGAAAGATAGTTTAATGGGTACAGGTTCATTCTTGTGATTTCGAAAATGCTACCTTGTAATGATAAAAATAGTCCAGGTGGGTTAGGCGAATTGCCAAGCAAACATATAAGTGCGTGAAAACAGAACGAATGGCGTACAACCGTAAACAACCAAGGGATCGGATTGGTATGCCTTCGATTCGATTCACTTTCTCAACTATAATTCAACCATTCAATTGTGACATCCATCCAGTACATGATTGCCGTACGCTCTTTGTGAAATGTGAGGGTCGAGAAGCTGTCGAGTTGCCGTTAGCTGCTTAGGAGCAGGTAAGCTAAACGTGGATGGTCGACCACTCAGCGAAGGCAGGTAGTTGTGCATGCAGAATGTCTGCATGCGCTCTTCACAGAAAAGCAGAAAGCCCTGATCACCGTATCTTGATGCAGGAATTGACCGTTGTTTCTCACTTTTGCTTCGGCCTTCCCCGTTGACTCGGCTCCTTAGATATCTCAAACCACAACTGCCAAATCACGGCGTTCGGTAGTGAGGCTCTCACATATATCGATCCAGTGTCTGAGGCACGCATTGGTCAGATTCCGCAAGCATAAAGTTAAATGAATAGGATAGCAGACTGATAGATTCTTGCCGTAGTCTACAGCCTGATTGCTTTTCCCAGTCATTATGTATACTTCGGTTGTGGGAGCGTTTGGCCAGCATTGTCCAAGTGGATTATGTCTTCGTCCAGACTCTGGCTGTTCGGAAGAATGGTTGGGGTGGTGTATTTGAACTCGCGCATCTTCTAACGTTATTCCGTTTATTGTAAAGGAACTGATTAGAATGCGAGGCGTTAGCCTCAAGGTCGATCGAAAAAATACACCGACAGATTCTATTAGGGGATGTGTTATAGACCGTGGTGGTCTACATCTAGAACAACTACGTCATCCGCGAATTTAAGGTTTGAGATCGCCCATATACCCCGTGGGGTCCGTTGGTGGCTTGACACACTAGCCAATCAAAGTTGAATAGTGTAGGGGCAGCCCTGTCGAAGCCTGACGACTATTTACCATGCAGGCGGACGCGTGATCTCCTGCCCTTGTGGTGGGACTTCAACGGCCTGATTAAATCAATAAGGATACCTGCCATTCCCAACTTGTTCCAGTGCTTTTCGCCTCACAAACTGGAAAGCCACCCGGAAGTCGATGAAGCAGGTAGCAGTTCGCTGTTAATATTTTTATCGCTGTTCTATGGCACGGCGGATGGCGAAGCTGTCGTCAATGCATTTTTTGCCTGAGTGAAAGTCTACCTGGTTTTGTCTGGTGCGTGACTACTTCGCTAACAAAGCAACTTGTAAGAAGGATGGCAAATATCTCGGAGGCTACATCCAATAAGCTTGTCCAACGGTAGTCTCCACGAACAGATTTGCCACCTCTCATGTGGATTGTTAGAAGAACAAAGGTGCTGCAGTCGGATCGAGCAGCTAGCAGTGTAGCGCGAGAAGAATGGTGGTGTATTTGAAGGAATACCGTCTTCACCAATGACTTTGCCTAAGTATTCTTTCTGAATCTCACCTACTGTACGCGATCATTATGTGTTGATCCCCACAGGACATGCTTCGAATTTTTCGGAGATGGGGTTGGATAACGAATATCGCTAATCCAAATCCATCCGACATGAATGAGTTTCCTAGGACTGAGTTTCCTGACATGTTTCGTGGTCACCCTAACGACTAGGGTAGCGAAGTTACGTCGTTTATCGGGGACGCCGTAGTATGAGAATAATGGTTGGTAAGGGAGCTTTCCGAGCGCCACCTGGATTTTGTTCGAGATGCATCTATGGTCTTTGTACGGCTAAGTGCGAACAGCAAATCAATAGTGTGAGAGCAGGGCCGTTGTTTTGATCGTTAGATTGGATTCGATCTCATCCACCCGATCCATCGAAACTGCTACCGCATACTCACCATTTTCGGCCAGAAATCAGGATTCAACCAATTACCCTAGACAGAGAGCTAACAAACTGTTTTTTTCGCCTGGTTTGGTGATAGATAATGTTAAGCAGAGGCGGATTCAAAATCACATTAGACCGTTCGTTGACCTCAGCTGTTCCAAGTGCTTTGTCGAACTCAAACCCAGGTGTTTCTGTCATCTGGAACGTGCTTTCTGTTACCATCACCGAACATCACCTTCGCTCATTCTTTGGTTCCAAAAGCTGCAATTTTCGACTGAACAGATTCTGTCTCATGTGCATACTAGTCAGCCAGTAGCGGTGCGCTTCAGGTGGAGCAATTGTACAACACCTTTGACCCTCAACTACGAACTCAGGGTGTTTTACATTCAGATTGTTTGCTATCGGGTTACTTATTGTCGCAACTTCATATATATTTAAAATTGCCTCCAATCTTGAATGACTGCCTTCCCGGTTAACAATTCAAATGGTCCGCCCTTTTTTGGACTGGTGGAATTGAACCCTATTTCAGTTTTACAAGACACCTATATTCTCCGTTTTCCTTACCGCGCAAATCGTTTTTACCGCTCTGGTTGTACTGTTTTTGTACCAAATCCTATATATTGTTTTAATTCATGAGTTTGAGACGCGGTTTCGGTCACGCGTTGACTGTTGATCCATATCGGCTTTGCTTGCCTTTTGGAGTACCTCACCGTTTGTCGAAAACCGTTGAGGTTTGTAATTTTGCATTCCGTGTAACTACTTTCATTTTTATAGTACAGGACATTTGGTTAGCTATTCTTTCGGAGTTTTGCCCGTTTGGTTGCTAACCTTGGTGCTCGTTGCTCAAGAATTCGAAACAGTCGTAACACTTATGTCCCCCAACAACTTCCTCGCTGAAGTATTCCGCGGACTATATGGTAGTTTGTGCTACTCTACTCGGAAATCTGAGTCAGTGGACTGTTTACCAATATTTCGTCAAGTAAATTTCGCTGCAACACGTCTCATGCTTTAATTGATATTCTTATAGGTGAATGGAATTTCTCTACCCGCTGACGACAACGGTTTTGTGTATTATCCTTTGATTAGCTCAACTATATTCATACCGGGAACTCGAATCATCACTGATTGCTAGCCACGATTAATTACTGTGATCTCGGCGCACTAGTGATTGAGACCGTAGTCCTCTAAGTGCCTCATATGGCGCGACGAGTTCACAAAGTAGTCTGAACACAGCTTCACACTCACAACAATCAACATATGGGGTCTCAAGGAGTTTTGTGTGTACTGAGTTTTTATATTTTGTAATTTTAGTGTACAACTGCCCTGAGCAATATGCAATTCTAGGTCGAACGGACGACGCTGGAGCGGATTGGAAAGAACTATTGGCTTCAATAGCACTCGCAACAGGAAGGTCTTCTATCTTATACCTCCATGTATTTGAACTTCCTCTCGCTTGTTTTCAGGAATGTAATGCTGCGATTCGACTACTTCGGTTTCAAAGCAAACTGGAAAAGCAAGAGCTGAAAGCTCCTGTGTTTGAATTCGCCAACTCCCTAAACGACGATCCTTACTCGGCACATCTCATCCTACCTGTGGTTGCCCCAACTAGTGCGGAAGAGACCTCATGGGTCGGTCAGCCACTGAACACTACATTGGCTCGTTTGCTGGCTATACCACATGGAGAGCGTCACGCCGATCAACTTCGCCGTGAATTCCGCGTGTCCGAAAAGAGATTCGCCCATTTGCGCTTAATTGGGTTGGCACTGCAAGGTGATTGTTGGTCGGAGATAGAAAAGATGTCAAAGGCTAAACGATTGCCTATTAACCTTGAGGTAAGAGCTGTCGGTACAGTTAATTGTTTTTTGTCTAATGTCATTTTCGGATTGGGCAACTGCGAAGTATCGTTTGCCGGCGCAGTTTTCTGTCTATCTATATCGCTCCCCAACCCATTCCCGCTACACAAGCAAAAGTCGCTGGGTCAGTTGACTGTCTGTTATCTGACCGAAGGGCCTAATGCTTCTCGCTGCCTATTAACAATGAACAAAACAACACCTTTCCAATTCCACGAGATCCTTTCTATATAGGTGCTTTTAACGTCCACACTTTATGTCAAGTTAGTAAACAGGAAATGTTTGCTGAGACCTCATACTCCCTTAAAATTGTTGTGGGAAATCTGAGTCAGTGGACTGTTTACCAATATTTCGTCAAGTAAATTTCGCTGCAACACGTCTCATGCTTTAATTGATATTCTTATAGGTGAATGGAATTTCTCTACCCGCTGACGACAACGGTTTTGTGTATTATCCTTTGATTAGCTCAACTATATTCATACCGGGAACTCGAATCATCACTGATTGCTAGCCACGATTAATTACTGTGATCTCGGCGCACTAGTGATTGAGACCGTAGTCCTCTAAGTGCCTCATATGGCGCGACGAGTTCACAAAGTAGTCTGAACACAGCTTCACACTCACAACAATCAACATATGGGGTCTCAAGGAGTTTTGTGTGTACTGAGTTTTTATATTTTGTAATTTTAGTGTACAACTGCCCTGAGCAATATGCAATTCTAGGTCGAACGGACGACGCTGGAGCGGATTGGAAAGAACTATTGGCTTCAATAGCACTCGCAACAGGAAGGTCTTCTATCTTATACCTCCATGTATTTGAACTTCCTCTCGCTTGTTTTCAGGAATGTAATGCTGCGATTCGACTACTTCGGTTTCAAAGCAAACTGGAAAAGCAAGAGCTGAAAGCTCCTGTGTTTGAATTCGCCAACTCCCTAAACGACGATCCTTACTCGGCACATCTCATCCTACCTGTGGTTGCCCCAACTAGTGCGGAAGAGACCTCATGGGTCGGTCAGCCACTGAACACTACATTGGCTCCTTTGCTGGCTATACCACATGGAGAGCGTCACGCCGATCAACTTCGCCGTGAATTCCGCGTGTCCGAAAAGAGATTCGCCCATTTGCGCTTAATTGGGTTGGCACTGCAAGGTGATTGTTGGTCGGAGATAGAAAAGATGTCAAAGGCTAAACGATTGCCTATTAACCTTGAGGTAAGAGCTGTCGGTACAGTTAATTGTTTTTTGTCTAATGTCATTTTCGGATTGGGCAACTGCGAAGTATCGTTTGCCGGCGCAGTTTTCTGTCTATCTATATCGCTCCCCAACCCATTCCCGCTACACAAGCAAAAGTCGCTGGGTCAGTTGACTGTCTGTTATCTGACCGAAGGGCCTAATGCTTCTCGCTGCCTGTTAACAATGAACAAAACAACACCTTTCCAATTCCACGAGATCCTTTCTATATAGGTGCTTTTAACGTCCACACTTTATGTCAAGTTAGTAAACAGGAAATGTTTGCTGAGACCTCATACTCCCTTAAAATTGTTGTGGTTGTGTCTCCGAAACACGCATACAAGACCCAAGCGTGGTTGCGTATCTCAGAACGCCAAGGATGAACTCAGCCCTTTGACATTTCTCCCTCCGTGTCCGGTGACTCAAAAGCGATGACTCGTGGAATATGTGGCATGGGAGCTAGACTCAGCCCCAGAGCTGGACACACTTTGCTGGGTTAGGTCCTAGTGAACAGTCGTCTTTGCGCTGTCCAGTTATCCAGCTCAATCAAGCCTTTCGACATAAAAAACAGTGCCCGTTAATAGTGTCGGCTTATATCTGAACGGATTGCAGTTCTGACGCTATTGACAGTTATCCAGGCTCATTCGTCAAGCAAGAAGCACTGACAATTCGATCCTTACGGGCGATATAAATATCCAAGTGTGTCTTGGAACCACATTTGGGTGGTCGGAGTTGGTGCTGTTCACACAGACAACGGAGAGCGACTCTTCCAGTTGTGCTGATCCTGATTTCTTTCTAGCCGGGGCGGACTTTCAGCATAAACGTTCGCATCTCGTAATCTGGCGCCCACCCATTGAAAATCAACCATGGACGCTGCTGGATCAGGTGGCCGTCAGCCATCCTTTTGGCACCTAGCTGCCATGCTGTCCAAAGGAAGCAGGAGGGCTTGGATACTGCCAGGTTTCCCAAGCCTAGACAGATGAGATCGAGAGGTAGAGGCCGGGTTCGAACCACGGACCTTCTGGTAAATAAATTAGCGCTCTAACCACTGAGCCATCTCGCCCTCCAGTCATTAGGGGAGAATTTTCAGCTCCGTCTTTCGATTAATTGCTAACTTAATATACTCCACAAATATTCAACCTTTAGATGACAAACTTGATCTGTGACAGCGTTATCGTTCCTTGGGCGTGTAGGCGAAACTCTCCATAAATCAATTTCGATAGATATCAAAGTCGAACGTGCAGACACTTTATGTGATCCACTGGGAAAGTTCATATAGAGTGATCTTTCTTTTGGAAAGTGCGTGATTTGATTCCTTAGTCGGACCTTGAACCCTTCTAGATTTGCTTTCTGTAAACTTGTGCTCCCTGTTGTAGGGTATACCAGGTTTGTGAATAAAGCTTATTTACATCAGTCAAATGGGAATAGTTGCCCGTATCCGCACGATTAGGGATATTGGTTTTGAGAGCTTAGTTATTTCGTTTACTTGTACTGCCGCCGTTCCAACCTTCCAATGAGCAATAAGTGACTTTAGGGGACGTGTATTTATCTTCTACTTCCAGACATTAATCAAAGTCTGTGTCGATTGTAATCACTTTGAAGAGGCACAATCATTGGTACCACGCCTTCCAGTGGAACGGAGAGTTCGGTTTTGGCTTATGTGTGGGTGAGTCTAACTAGTGCGCATTTCGCAAAACTATCATGAGTTCCTTATCATATCCCGTTTTTTCGGAAGGACAGGGGTGCTCTCAAATAAAAACGCGCATGTGTAGACACTTCTGCCCCTAAGCTGGTCAGTGGTTCTCAATGTTTGTAGCTGGTTTCCCTCTTAGCTCCCTGCATACATCTGCGTTGCCCGACCACATGAGCCACATGAACAGTGAAGTTCGCGACCATCAACAGAGATCTTTCCGAAAAGAAAACACAAACGTAGTCCCTGTCGAGCATTGTTTATTGTGTGATCATTGCGAAAAGAGAACACCCCCGGGAGAGGTCTTGCCGCGGTATCCTGCGTTGGGGGATTACTGCTCACAATAAAGGTCGATGTGATGGATAGATCTGGCGGATGGACATTAGCGCAAGGTCAACAGCCTGATGATAATTTCGAAACGATGTAGGATCTCAAAGTCTGCAGCCGGAAAATATCTTCCGAAATCTAAAAAGTGTTGGCTGCACTGAAACCTTCGGAATCAGCGATTTTGAAACATACCAATTTGGTTTTCACAGGAGACCCAACTGAATATCTCGTTTATGGTGTTTTCATTCGAAGAGATTCTAGCAACCTTATGAGTAGTGTGTTGCGTCCATACGACTTTAAAACTTATTCGGAAAAAGCCTGGTGTGTTCCGCAGGTCAGAATAGCATTCACATATTCGTATAGAACCGAAAGTATCGGTGTGTTTCTTCTGAGATGGACCTTGATTTTATTTAGTGGTAACGCCACAAAAAGTATTACAAGTCTTGTCAAACTGTTGACCGGTTTCAACTCAGATACTGCATTTGTCTTATGCGGTAGGTAGACAATCATCATAACCATATTTATTTAGCATACCGAAACCGACTGAAGTACATGGCTGAGTGTGCATCACAGACTTAATTTGACTAAGTATAAGCTCGTTGGCAGCGAGTAGCCACTGACTATTCCAGTTTGTTGTCACGGTTACACGCTACAACCCACAGGTCTGTCATAAAATAACGTGGCCACTGTCTGCAATTAGATGGGAAGAATCACGCTGGGAGTTTCTACCATGTCAAGTCTGGTGCTGTAGTTCTTCACTGTCCCCTTCTATTCTACTCCCCTTTGTCCTCCCTACAACCTCTTATCACTGTCTTTAAAAACACTGTGTCTGACAATAAATGAACATGGCGCTGAAAAACGTTGGCTTCTCTTTTGCTGACGCCTTCCTTTTCCTGGGTTCCGGACTGTCACACTCACGACCCTAGAAACAGCTGTCAAACCTTACATTCAACAACAGATCAATATGCGCCCTGAATATGAAGACCAAGGACCCACGCCTTCGGCAAAATTATCTTAAATTTCCCAACCCATCGGCTGTAAGACTTAGGCATTCACACCAACCGGGAAGACCCTGTGACTGACATTCAGCACTGATCCAGTGAGGCAGTCGAAAGAGATCTTGCTTTTTGGTCCTCCGTCTACCTCAAACCTCGGTCAACCTCGTGAATTACTCGATTGGCCTGTAAAAGCTTGTTACAAGCAAAACTTCGTTTCGAAATGAACTCATTGATTGTTTACCGGACTCTTCTGGGAAACTAAAACTTTCTCGAAGGGAACATTTCATACAAAACGGACCGGACCAAACATTTCATATTACGAAATGTTTTCGCCACCCAAGCCCGATATAGCTTAAGTACATCTTAACTAGTCAGACTTACAATATCTCCAGAGTTTCTGCCTTAATCGTCCAATGGATGAAGAAGACATCCGTTTTTCATCGACCTGTGCCTACCCAGTTGCCTGAAAGTTGTTCCTTGCATTTGGCTGCCTTAATCCTAAAAACTTAGTAAGATTCCTCTTTGCATAAAAAAATTACACCCATGAATTACCTAATTCGTCGTGGATCATCACCACGGAATAACGAGTAGCGATCTCCTAATAGTATTTGCTTGCGCAAGAAAATAATGTCATCAGACTAGTAAAGCATAAAATTGCCGTGACTGTTTGCGCTTGCGTCTGTGCCTTGGTGGTCATAAAGGGGCAGGCCACAATATGTCACCACAATATCATTGCCTTGAACTGTCATTCAAATCAAGCCAGTTTAGTCCCATTTAAAGGATGCCACCAGCTTGTCATAAATGGGTTTAGCACATTGTGCGAAAACTGTCCCCAGCTCATTGTCATTACTCTCCATATTTTTTGCTGATATTAATCAGCTAAATGTATTGCTTTTTCTCGACTTTAGGCAAATTGAACAAGCGATTCAAGCTGCAGTTCGTGAAAAGTCCGACTCAGATTTGCGTCTGATTCAGGAACACGTTGGAAAAGGAAACGACGCAATGTACAGTCGCATTGCCGCATTGCGTCAGCAGATTCGTGGTTGACGTCCTCTTACCCCACCTCCCTCCCCCGGCTGGATGTCAACACCTATGTAAATATGACTTTGATTATTTTCGCTTACGTTCTCTTCGAGCAATGGATTTTACTTCGCTTCCTTTTTTAACGTCCTGTCATCCGAAAGTCCGTCTTTTCACGTACCGAGTTTCGATTCATCCGTAACAGCTCATTGTGGGTGCCCTGTGCGAATAAGTGGAACCTGTCCAACACTGGGTGAATCAGTGCACTGAAGGGGGCAGTAAGGTCCAAGTAATGTGAGCGTTCACTTGACAATCGTCAACCTTAACGACAGACTGTGGCTCACCTTCTTGCATTGCTTGACCGCAATAATTAGAGCAACTTTGGTGCACCGTATGAGCTCAAGCTCTTGGGATGGGGAGTAGGTTTTCTATTAGAATGCTTGCGATTAGACCCAACTTTTAAAGTGTATGATTAGAGATTGGAGTCCAACGGTACCTCAAGGCTGCAATACATCAAAGGGCGCCGCAGTTGAGTGACTTGATTCTTCGTAGTGTAAGCAGATTTCGGAATTTCCAATTTAGGTCGCCCTCACTTACACGACGTAATCTTACTTGAAAATTCGAAAGCCTCCTCACACGATCAAGAATTTGGGTAACAGACGCATGAAATTTCCGTATAACAAGTCGCCACTGGAGGAACCAGCCAACACAAAGTGCGGATTCCGGACAGAAAAATGAGTGGCGCTGAGTGTCTGTGAGTTAATCACAAAGGGTTCAAAACTACCTGAAGTTTTGTGAAATGCGCACTGCCGATGATTCCCAATAGGAATGAAACAGTTGTACAGTGCCCCTGGGCTTTCCTGCATGCGGTGGTCTGACGTACAGGATACCTGAAGTTTTGTGAAATGCGCACTGCCGGTGATTCCCAATAGGAATGAATGGTTGTACAGTGCTCCTGGGCTTTCCTGCATGCGCTGGTCTGACGTACAGGACGGAATCGCAATTGAACAACTTGAGTTGGTTTTGGTCCCCAATTTATGCCTGTTTGCCTTTGGAAGAAAGGAGCCTAGTCGTCAGCGCGATTCACTGCTGTTTATCCATCGCTTCGAAGAGGGGCAGGGCATCATGCAGGTTTCGTGACACTACACTTGTTTTGCAAGCATCTTCGGCAAACCTATGGTTCATTGAGTGCACAGCGACCAGAAATGCTTGAGAAATGAAGTCCTTGTACGACATGCTCAAATAAGGACAAGAAATCTTCCGCCATGGAACAAGGAAAAGAGTCATTGTTACACAGTGTATTTTTTAGGTTAGGTTTCGTTTCATTGCAGAATACAGCAAGTTGTAAAAGAAGGTACCATAAATTGCTCACGAAGTTTGAGGATACCTGATGCGTTGCAACAGAATCACAACTTCCACATGGCGAGTTTGTGGGAAGAGATCGACTGGTCGCGCTAGCGTCGGGATAAACGGCGCTCCTTGAAACCTGTTCGAGGTTGGGCGGGCAAAACTATAATTGAAAGAACACATGACAAATAAGGGAGACATCTTTCGTCTGATGTTCAGCGAAGAATGAGATAGAGTTTTGGCAAGTGTAAATGCATCGGGGTCTGTTGGTGTAGGTATGATGAGAAATAAGACGTAAGCAGAACAAGATTACGGTCTACGTAATCGGGATTTCCTGGATCAACTCTCTCAGAGCTCTTGCTGTTTCTTGCGGATTCTAGTGTGCTAGGAACTCTAATCGAATCACTATTATTGCTGATGCCTATACCTCAAACGACGTATTGGCCCATAGATCCGGAACCGCAGTCCGAGAGCAGTACTGTATCTCTCACCTAGTGCTATCTACCAGAGTCTCTAATACTACCCGAGTTCGAATCAGCCTCGTGGACATAAGTTGAATATACCTGCAATAACTTGTGTCGAAGAGGCGAATGTGTTTATTCAGTGAAGTGAAGGAACTTATTGGGTCAACCAAGCACAGAATCTCAATGAAATGCGATGATTCCCTTCACTAGACTTGCGTCTGACCAGAATTTGCAGAAGTTCACCGGACTCTGTCACGATGAGGTCTCTTCAAGTACGTCTAGCCGCAGCTTCAGCAATTGGCCCACTACTTGTTTGATGATTACCGATGTGCCCTTGCCAGTCAGTCCATCGTCGGATTAATCCAATCTCACTACTGCTTTATCATCACATCGCAAGTCAGTTTAGAAGGGTGAAGTCATCAATTAAATCTGTGAGGTTTGTCCAAGCTACGGGAAATTTTGTAAGATTCCGTAGCGGCACCTAAACAGCTCGACGTGCACTTTGAGAAACAGTTGACTTCAACCTGATAAGTGCAATACTTGTAGAAGATTTGTTGAACGTCGTTCATGGTGTTTTCTTCGCTAGTGCCAAGCGAAACGTGCATGATGTGAAGTGATCCACATAGCAGTGATTTGCATATAGCTGAATAAGACTGGAAACTTGGCGCTCCCGGTTCTGCTAGCATTATATGGTTCGGAACCGAGGTGAATTATTCGCGTCCACTTCGATCCAGACCGTTTGCAGCAGATTAACACAGGGCCTTTCCACTGTATTCTTATTTCTGCAGCGAGAATTTATATAAACAAATCGGTGCCGCTCGTCTCAAACTGCGATTTTTCGGACTTTGTGGTGATTATCTAAAATTGTGTTGCAGGAGGTCTCTTGGTTTGGGAGTGCTTTACCTTACCTCACCATGATGCCTGATCCTGATGTCGACCAATCTAAAACAAGAATTATCGTACTAACAAAATGTATCTGCTTGAACTGGATATTTTCTGTGACGCCCGATGTTACTGCCATGTCTCTCACTGGCCCCTTGTTATTTGTTTTCTGGTTGACCGTTACGGTGTGGACTATTGTATTTCCTTGTCAGTCACATGTACACAACTGCAATTAACCTGGCTTCGACAGCCAACCGACCGTGCATAGATTCACTGCAGACTACATAATTAACTCCGGACATACCATGCTCGATTACAGAAAACAAAATGCGCATGCCGAACGTAAGGTAATAGTTGAAGAATTAATGAAGGTGACTTAACAGGACGAATTATTTCGTACAGAGTTACCAATAAACATGATCTCTTCCGAACAATGAAATGTTCGCTCCAGAGATGAACACCAGTGCAGATACCTTTTGCTGATGAGAGTTTTTTCATCGTTTTTCCGCTTCCGCTAAGATGGAAGTGGGTGCAGATCAGTGCGAATGAACGCTTGAATGGTAAATTGGTACACCCTATGACAAAATTGCAGTCATTCATGTCTTTGTTTGGTCGTGACTTCGCTCTGGTGGATTTAACTAAATTATAGGTTGCTTTTTAGGTGATATCACACCATAACTTATTTTTCGAGCAATAGATAAACGCGCTCGAAACCCAAGCCACCAATGTACGGGGATATTGCTTAGATAAACAGCTGTAAATGCACCGAACAGTGAAAAATTAATAGTAAGTAATCATCTTTCAGCTGTTACACCCTATCGGCGCCTAGCACGAGGGCTGGGATACCGCCAGGTTGCTCAGGTCTAGACAAGGGAAGCTGCGATGCAGAGGTCGGACCTTCGGGTCAGCAGATTCGCGCTCTAACCACTGGGCCGTCTGGCGCGTTAAAATTGTGGGACCATCCAATGTTTTGTTGAAGGGCATTTTAATGATGGTACCCGGGTACGTCGTCTCAACAATCACTGTTTTCTTATTCAAATATTTCACCCTCGTAACAATGAACGGGAATTGTAATTATTCCGTTTGGATACATGAAACAGAGCCTTAATACCTTCAAGAAGTGGGATATTTGAATAAGAAGACGTGCTGATTTCCGCTTTCTGTTTTGTCTCATAAATGCTTAAGACTAGCCAAATTGTAGTCCTAATCTGCACCGCATAGAGACCACGTGGTGTACCGGCGCGGTGAATGTATACGGATACAAATGTAGACTGCCGAAAAGCGGTTTGCGGGTAACTGTCAGACAACGTCACCAAAAGTGTATCAAAGCGGTTTCGGGACGAAATAACCGTAATTAATAATAAATTCTTCGGCAAGACGATACCAGAGGATGTCCTCGTATTTCCTCCGCACATACCTTCCATCTCGTTCATTTGCGCCAGCCGATCAAAGCGATAATCTTGAAATGACCAGCTAAAGGGGATTTATTCAGTTCTACTCAGTGAAATGACGTTAAGATGGGAAACACGATGGTCTCACAATTTTTTTCTCTGCTGTCAATCGATAGTGAGAATAACCGACGGTAAGACCTGGGAGTGAGCAGTCGAAACCAACCAGTCACATTTTATTATACTTACTCGATGAAATCTTGCATTGCGGCCTCCAAGTTGCAAGACACATACACAATCCGTTCAAGACGAGTGCAGCGCCGAAGGGTCTGAATCACAGTGTTACCTGAAGAAAACACAAAAAACCGATTAGTTGGCGGTGCGCGTTATGTGGAGGGGATAGCCCAAGGTTCCAATTTATTGTTGTTATACGTCCCGGATGTGACCTGCTTCCGAGGTCAGTATTTGAGTAGTAAAAAGAAATAAGTCAATCTCACTTTTAATTAGGATAAGAATTTTACAACTCAACAGCTAACCTCACCAAACACTGAGCGACGGGGGGCTGATGGGACGAGAGTTGTGACGAAACAACGCAATACTTGGACAAAAATTTTAGTAGCATAAAATACTATAGTGAGGACGGTGATTAAAAGAGTCCTGCTGATATTGAGATAATTTTGGCATCTGTCTTAGTCAAGTCGTTGACAGATTACTGCGTCCGCGTCTACATAGGTACCTTAATGCCATTTTAACCTTGTTTCCACAATGATCATGTCAAACCCCATCGCGAGGACAGAGGTGATTAGACTGTTCAACGGGATCGCATGCCAGGTCATGCCCGACTAAAGATATCACTGGACTCTAGGAGAGCGTTCTCGACTGGAAGATCACTTGGCTATGGCGAAGTTCCGTGAACAATCGTCCCTGATTGACACGAGATCACTCTAACTACATGACGGAAGGCGGATCTTTTCGGTTGCTGTTGATAGTTTGCTGTCAGGCTCTACGGATTACATACAGTAAAAGTTCCTTTAATTAAACGATTTACAATCATATGCGCTCATTCAGGTGATCGGAAAGGGTGTGATGTGCCTGTCTGAATTAGAGTTAACTTCAAAAGATGCTACATAGTGTATACCTGAATTTCGTCTCCCATAAATTCGAATGCCCTCCGTGTCTTCTGTATTTCTCAACAAATCAGAAGGCGCTATAATCCAGCGCCTTACTCGTAGTCTTTCGTTTTTTTAGTCAGATGACTTATTGGGCATGGAAACATACTAAAACTGAGAATGACAGATCAGGAGCACTGTATACTAGTCTGGGTGGCCATGCTCCTTCACCGGGCGACCCGCGTATTCACGTCTCCCAATCATATCGTATCGGCTGACAGTTAAAGATGTCTGACGCATAATCTACTTGTACTGAATGTTCCACCTAGAAGAAACAGAATGTCGAGGAATCAGACACGGTCAGATTTCGTACCCGGAAGGTGCTATGTATCATTGTACCAGACCAGAAACCGTAAAAGCTATCAAAAATGCGATATGCATTTTAAATCATTTATGGGAAAACGCACGTATTCCGGAACGAGGTGGATCAACAACAGCCACGATGTTACTCTCTTTCGGTATTGTGGACATCACATCGAACAAGACCTTGTCCGCTTGCCCAGCATAGAACTGAGCGTTTTCAATACCTACGGAAAATAAAAAAAAACGGTTGATGACTAATCACACAATCGAGCTGTATCGAATTATCTGAGTACTGAAGACTGACAGGCTGCAAGATAATTCAGATGTGGAGAAACTGATCAAAGTATCGGTCCTCTTAGAAGTTCGTATAATGCTGTGGGTGCAAGATTTAACACACCGATAAAATCGGCTTGCGTTCTCCTATTTGGTCAACTGGCTTAAAGAGAACAGGTGCATTCCGGCGGTTGACCAGGAGAAAACCAGCCAATAATATACAAAAGTAATTCTAAAAGAGGCAAAAACGAAGACGTATGTCAAACTAAATTGATATTAACAGGCTACCAGAAAGATCTTTTTCATTAGCGTGTGATGAACACTGTCTCCCGGACAAGCTTCACACCATCCGCGAAAGTTCATGGCTAAAGACATATCAAGCAGCACTCTCGTTCACGTTCTTACATAAATGAAATTCGTCTTGTGACCAGCTAAAGCGATTACCACCTCTTGTGAGTTGTGTTTGATAGAAGCCGTATCTTATATGGCCATGTACATCGGGAGATAAAGTGCTCTCGAGAAATACACTCATTTGCAAATCAATTTGGTTTTCATGAGACTCAAATGAATCTCTCAAGTAGATCATAAGGTTGACGGAAACTCGGGGAGTGCGCCTACCTGATGAGCCTTAAGAAGGGCGAAACCGGTCGTGGGCTGTCGAAGAGTTTTCAGCAACCTTGTTAGAAGTTTCCTTTATGAAAATATACTGTGATATCTCGAATATCGTGCTAACTGAAACATGGGCTGTCGAAGAGATTTCAGCAACCTTGTGGGTAGTTTCCTTTATGCTTTCGAGAGTCTTTATAAACTCTGATATGATTCCGAATTCACTTCACATTCGGTCAGTGTTTCCTCCGGGAGTCTTGACAGGGATAGGGTGAAACTAAATGCTGTGAACATTGTCCAAGTAAAATCATTACTCTTCGGTACAACACTGTATGACAGTTGTGTGCAATAGCAGCAGCGTGGGATATTTTCCGTCCGTTCATGTCATGTACTTCTGTGTGAATGCAGTCTCTTCTTTTGATTACTGTGGTTTCACCATAAAGAAGTCCCCCCCCAAAAAAAGTCCCCATTTTACTGTTAAAGCTCCATCTCGATCAAATATCAGCTTAAACAAACGGCGCACACATTAGACTAAACTGTCAACGCCTCATCTAGATCATATGGGCGATCCTTGGTGTTCCCATTCAATTGATGTGATGACTATAGGGCCCGTGGGGTGTTTCGGCGGGTTGAATCAGCCCGCTATGGATCGGCAGAGAATTTCAATTAGTACTCACCCGTGTTGTTGATGACATCCCCTGTTCCTGCAGTATTCGGCACAACCACGACAAACTTCGACCTTAGGTCATTTGGGTACCAGGTACAGCGAACAGCTATAGCTTTGTAGTTGTTTTGGCGATTTCCCTTCATCCATTAGCCTATCCGACAGCACTTAGCCCCACTCAGCAGAGAAAGAGCACTATCAAATAAAGGTATAGTTTGGTGAAGTGTGCGCGAAATGGTAATGAGCAGATCTCTGAAGTAACGGACATCGTGCCCTCCACTACAAGCCTGATTAAAAGTGGAGAAGAGCGGACTGATCGGAACGAAGATTGACCACCACAGCAACAACCCAACAATTATGTGTGAGTGTTCATGCTCAGTTCGTTTCCTTCGAAAATAATTGAGTATTGAAACAGACAACACTGGATACACCAGTAAGTATTCTAAGTTTGTCCACGGTCAAAAGGACCAGATCAGCTTCAGAAAGGATTTACCACCCGACCGATTTCGATCGGTCCCATAGATGTTCGCTCTCGAGAACCTAAGGTCCATTGTGTCAGACATTCCGCCGTAGTTCCGGTAATCGTAACATATGAAACATCCTACCCCAAATCAAGCGTCGAGCGGCATGAATCGAGGCAACGACCCTTTTTTCAATATGACCACACTCATGACACTGAAATGTCGGGTGAAATTCGGAAAAGAATGAGCAAGTAGTTTGATAGTAACGTACCGTTTCGTGTGGCATTTTGTTTGGCATCTGCTACTGCTGACTGAAGCAGTTCAATTCCTATAACCTGGTCGAAGTGCTGAAACATAAAAGACACCCATACAATTTACTGAATCGTAGAAACCCAATACAAGGTTTTGCCTTTCAAATTTCTCCCTCCGGGTTTAGAACTAAAAATATATCCAATTGATATTGTCGAATATGCATCCAAAACTATGCACTAAGAAAGCCGGGGACAAGCTATGACAAACCCAAACACTGAGTAAAAGTGGGCAAAGTGAAATTACCTGACTTGTCTACTCTGATCAAGGACTCCACCGTCGGAGTACAGCGGAGCTCTCCTGCAAAATGCTAGGCAACAGGGCTCATTGGTGAGATACCTCAGGTGCGAACATCCAGACTAGAATCTCCATAGTTCGAACCCAGCATCTGCATCTCGACTGCCCCGTCTGGCTCTAAGTGAAATTACCTGACTTGTCTACTCTGATCAAGGACTCCACCGTCGGAGTACAGCGGAGCTCTCCTGCAAAATGCTAGGCAACAGGGCTCATTGGTGAGATACCTCAGGTGCGAACATCCAGACTAGAATCTCCATAGTTCGAACCCAGCATCTGCATCTCGACTGCCCCTGTCTGGCTCTCGTGTTTCCTTAGCATGGCATGGCAGGTTTGCAAAGAAAGGATGTTACGGCGGAACGATTATTTCTATGACCAGTAGAGAGTGGATACTGTTTCGCAGGAAGACGTATGGTGTTTATGTGAATTAGGCGCGGCAATGAACAATGCAGAGAATAAACGTGTTTGGGTGTATTCGGTTGAACCAAAATCCACAGAGGTAATCAAGAATGAAGTCCAATGAGCCATTAGGTAACTTGCCTTGGATAAACAAAGGGCGATCGTTCCAGTTCCACAGCAAATATCCAGTAAGTAAGTGGTTCTATGACAATCAGAAGCTGGTGTACTTGGCTGGTCTTTGTCGCTTTGAGAGCAATCCGTGTTGGAATGTGTACCGCTGAAGTTGTCGTAAGCACCAGATGCGAATTTCGAAACCTCCTCATATAGCAGTTCTGCTGCCAAAGTGTTGACTAAAAGGATTGAAGAGAAAAGCTCGTAGATGAGAAATCAACGGTACATGGAGGATTTCACGGAATCCACTGTGGTGAAATCTTTCAAGAAGTTGACCTTCACGCAATCTAAGTTCAATTACGCTGAGTGGAGTTCTGGGGGTGATGTTTTGACTTAGACGTGGGGGAGGGGGCGGAAATGGCTTTTACTTTCAGTAAGTAGGAATTAACACTGAGATAACAAAAATTCCCAAGAGGAGATATTCATAGAAAACAACCAAACTGTCCCTAAGTGATGCCCTTTTCCTTATAGAAGGCTTTCGGAGGCACTTCTCCTGAAAACCTGGCCAATATCTCCATAGTTTGATAAACCGACAGCAACGGGGTACAGTTGTATCTGCCCTTCGAGATCGCTTGTTCCATTGCCTGCTAAGATATAGTGTGTGTTGTGGGGGATTCCAAGATATATACAATTTGGAGTGCGATTTCGAAATAACATTGCACAACCAGCCCAACAACTGAAGACATAGATGAAAAAGTACAAATTTATCGCTGAACCGATGGCTACCAAAATTTTTAGTTGTTAGCTCTATCTCGCAAAAGGTTACAGTATCCGGTTTTGTGCAGTACCACAGTGGGTTGCTAATGTCATAAGAAACTAGTGTTTTATCATTGTTTGATCGTGACTGGTCGATTAGGTTATGGACGGACGGTTCTGTAGCCTGTGAAACACATGAGTTGAAGTTGCTGGTCTTCCGAATAAGCATTACTCTGTCAGAGTTTGAACCCAACTCGTCTGGTTGGTTTGGTGAAATCTGTATCAGTTGGACTGGTGAGGTGCGAACGGCTTCCAGCTGACAGCCTGGCTACTTGGTACGCAAAAGCCTGAATAAATTGCGTGCGAGTCCAGAAGTCCGTGAGGACCTACTACCCAGGGAAGATTTGCGTGGTTCAAACAAATGATAGGGGGAGTCGATTGCAATTTAGTTAGTATGTGGGATATTTGATCAAAAGACTTCGAGAGAGCTTCAGGACCGTTGTACGTCGTAAGTGACCAGCGAACGGGTTATAACACTGCGGATCATTTCTGACGTGGATTACTTCGCCAAATGCTTGTTCATAGATACATTTTTTTCCGGAGACAGTGCAAACTGTGGGCAGTCCTAAGGGAATGATAGTCTGCTATAGACGAACAATGGGATTAATAATGAGGAAAAAACAACGCAACGAGTACATTCAGTTGAAGACCACTCACGACGAGGTTTAACTGAAGTGAGTTCGCTAGTTTCGTCGTCTGAGGGCAACAGCCGTTCGCTAACTAAACGGAGACAAAAGACTGAGAATGGATAGACCAGTTAGCAGCTCATTTTAATTAGCTTAGCCCTCCTCCCATGCATCTAGTGCGTGGATACACAGGTTAAATTTCGCGTTCACAGAAGAGGTTTCTGTTATAGACTACGCTCGCCCGTAAACAACGCCGACGAGTTCCGGACTCAATACATCTAACACCGATAAAGTTTTCTGGAAAATTTGCAACCACTCTAACGAAGCGACACGACCTACCTTGGAAAAACGCATCTAACGATATTCGAAATTCCAAACCACAACATTTTTCGACGATATGCTGGAAATTGGGAATGGTAGACGTTAAGTAAAGTGAAGTGAAGTGAATTAAACAGGTTAAGGAGGAAGCACTAGGAACACTTACATCTTTGCCAAATAGCAAGCGTGTATTGGAAGTGTCGAACTTTTCGGATGTGCTAAATAGAGAGGAAATCGGTATTTCAAGTACATGAAGTGATGCAGAGTGACGATGCAAAAATACCGCCTTGAGACAGTAAATGCGAAACTCACTAACGTAACTCGAGGGCCCGAGGTTCTCCATTTCCGCACTACGGTGATCACCCATATGCAGTCGCTGCATTTCGATGGTTTCGTCAAATTCAAATTGTAACGCCTACAGAATGAGCCCCCTTATCCGGGAACAAACATGATAGGTGACCTCAATTGAGCTGGTATCCAGTAAGATGGTCATCAAAACAACAAACTGGAAAGCCCTACCAAAATAAACCTTTGTATGTTTTCCATATCAGGGTTTTTCAGTTTGGGGAGAAGCAACCGAGCAAGAATTGCAAGAGTGTAGGGGGGATAATAGTCTCAGATTCGAAGACCAATAGGTCAAACATTGACTGTACGACAGATTCGCCCGGTGTCTAAATCCTTCAGACGATAGTTCCTACATATTTCATGTTCTTTTTCATTGACGCGATGGTGTTGGTGGTATGAACGCAGTCCGCTATGTTTGAGGTCTTTCAGTGAGATATTAAACACAGGCAAAGGCGTAAACCGTAGTGATACTCTATATTCCGTTTCACGATAGCTCCATTTCCACTTTAAATACATTCGTCTCAGGTTTGCGCAGTTGCATCTGCGTGAGCTCAAGATAGTCCAGCGACTAAGGCGCGTAACTGCTGACCGAAGGATCAGTGGTTTAAATCCAACGCTGGAGTTTAAATTGCTCCTGTTTAGGCCTGGACAACTTGGTAATTCCTCAACTCACACACTTCTATCGAGTTGCACGGCAGCTATGTATCCCAACGGTTCCACAGCTGCACCGTACGACCCACAAATGCTTTGGGATCCAAAATATTCCGTGGTCAAAATGCCTTTGGAAGACCTGCGTCAATGGGTTGTTCATCGTCGCGTCACCACCCTGCACAAAACAGGTTTACCTATTCCACAACGGACCGTCACACGATGACAAAGATAACTGGCCAATAGAGACGACTGCACGAAAAAAAATGCCACACAATGTGCAGGCCTGTCCTGGATTGAGTTGAGTGTGTAAAGCCCTATATTGTGCTCGGTCGGCTTGTTGTGCGACAGAATTCAATCTTGTCCCATGATGTCAGTTTGTTCACTGGGCCAATGATCTACATAATGGAAATCTAATTCAGTCCCCTGCCTTCTACCCACCGACCGATCCAGTGGCTATCTGAGTTACTAGAACTACTGAACCGTCTTAACACAATTTCCTTCTTGTCAATGGTTCAGTCGCATCTTAGACCATCCGATAACTGAGCGGTGGTAGACAATGTGCCCAGCCTAGCAGACGATTAACTGGCTGGACTTTGAATGGCTGGTCGAATGATTGCTGTGGACATGGTCGCGGTAACCACTCTCTGCCTCATAACCTCTCGGGTACCCATAGTCAAGTTCTCCAGTCGGGCCAGTTTCAATGTGCATTTTTTCTACTCTCATGTTGTGCTTTCCGTTGTTCCAACCGCTTTGAGTGGGTCGCTATTATACGCTTCTATTATAATAGCAAGTATACCACTTACCTGCAATGAAGATAGTTGGCAGCTCAGTGGTTAAGACACGAAATTACTGACTGGAATGTTCCTGGTTCGAACCCGATCCCGGCATCCAGAATGCTCCTGTCTAGGCTCTGCAACTCTGGCAGTATCTCCCACTCGAACTTCTCTCGGGTGGCACCGGAGTGTTGCAGCCGAACGATTATTATATCACACAGAACCATGCATCGTCCTCATCGTTGGCTAAAAACTGTATATGGATGCTACAGTGATCATAGCATCTGTAGCGTTTTTTTCATGCACGGTCTAGACTTTTGGGCAGTTTAGTTCTGGGATTGTAAAATATATAGTAAAGTGAAAACCATCATTCAGCTGTAACACCCTTTCGGTGCCTAGCCGCGACGGCACCCGAAGCATGAGGGTTAGGATAGTCTCGCGTTGCCGAAGACAAAACAAGAGCGGACGAGATGTCAGGACTGAGTTCTGAGTTCCGATCACTAAGTTGGCACCTAGGTACCTTGAGCTCCTACTAGTAGGTGGGCAATTCATCTGAGGCTCAGTTGAAAGGGATTATAAAAATGAGATGAAACTTACTTGCGGCGAGTCGAGAAGTAGAGCGAAGTGACTTTTGGATCAACCTGACCGGAATTATCGACAAACCAATTGCGAAAACGTTCACAAAGGTAGTCCATTTCCTCCTGTTCAGTGAGAGGCAAAAATGATAGTTTCTAACCCATATAGTGGAAACCTGACAAATTAAAGCACGCCCCTGTGGAAACCAAAATAGCTAATGGAAGCTGCAAGAACCAGTGAAAATTTGACGAATCGGTTCAAGCACACAAATTGACTTAATCATATTAAGTCAGCGGCCGCTTGCCACAAACTCACAGGACGAAACATTAACCGGTATTGATTGACTGGATCGAATCATCATCAGAAAGTGGGAAGTGAACAAAGTAGCGGAGAAACAAACCATCGTTTTGGATGAAGCAACTGCAGTATCCAACCTATGGTGATTGTGGCTTCATCACTCGCACTATATCAGGGTCCCTATGTAGCCTCTGCAAACATAGCATAGTACTTACTCTGCACAGTGACTAAAAACGTATGAGGGTACAACCTTCAAAACTCTCGGCCCTGCTGTGCTGAGACATGCAATCTTGATTTCTTCAACAAGAGGCAATCAGTTTTTTGTATTAAGCATCAAGAAAACCAGCTTAAGCAACGACCTCCACTTGACAGCCCACTGTACCTATCCCCCCCCAAAAAAAAACATCGGTGAACGAAACGGCGGCAGCTACAACCACTGTACGACGAGTACGCGGTTATTACAGCTGACAATGATGAGCTTAAGCAACAAGACAGGCTGCACTTATTGAAAAGCTGGCGGTCACGCTTCGTGGGTGCGAATTCGTCTAATGAACAGAGCTCGGTAGGTTTTGCTTCATTCAGTGAGCTCAATGAGACCAACGTCACAGATTAAACTCGCGAATCGATTATCGTTTCTATCCCCGACGTGGGCAGATGCTTACAGCTGGATTACCGCGGGATTGTTCTAGCACAAGATTCATATTGCGGAAAATGTTTAGCCATAGCTTTTTTTCAAAGTTTCCAAGGTGGGATCTCTTAGAAAGAGGGAACACACTACTTACAATTGACGAAAATTAGTAATCGCCAAAAACGTTGCTTTCTCCTCAGATGGAGGTACTGTATAGCGGGCCAGTGATGGCCTTATGTTACACACGCATATTACAATGGGCACCTGATAAAAATGCACTTCTATTGCTTACATGCCGGGATACCCACACGGCTCAATTTCTCAATCCCCGCAGGGCAGTCGTCTTTCCATGTGATTGTGTCCTGGCTTGTGTGGCCCAGTGGAATACTATCGTATCATTTGTGAAGATAGTAAAGTCAAACAGTTAAACAAAGAGTCTCACTTTACGACACCTGCTTGAAATAACGCTAGTTTTCACACGAGGCTTTCATGCGATATTGTGTTACACACTGGCATATGGACGAGATACATCACTCACGAGAGCATAAGAAACATGGAACTTCGGTTGACCAAGGTAGAAGCTTTCAACCCGAAGGGCCAGGAGCAAAGGCGTTGGTGTTGAGCGGTTGACCAATTGTGCAGTAGTCAGAGTCCCAACACACTTCGGTCCAATCATCGAATCAAGCAGAAACCACACTAACCTGGATGCCCGTAGAAGGTATGGTGGTATATTCAAACTTAACCTTGTTCCACTACTTTACACCCAGTGAAGTACAAATATCCCGATTTGTCGACCTGTTTCACTTTAAAAGTGGGTTCTTTCGATGTGATGTTAACCCCAAGCGGATTATTTCTCTGTTTGAAATTTTTCAGGCGGTTCTATTAGGGTATCATCCCACTAACTTTAAGTGGTTCATCGACCAACGAAAAATGAGGGACTAGAGAAAAAATAACCTGTTAAGAAACGCAACTTCCACTATACAACTGTGCCCGTTATGTGTACTGCGCGATCAGTGGAACTAAAACATGCCTGGGTGCAAGTTAGCCAAGGTGCCAACACAGAAACCCCCAGGTTGACTTTTCTATCAACGGTAACTGATTCAAAGTTTGAGGCGGAATACCGATTTGCTCCAGAAAACAACTGATGCATAAAGCATGTTCAAATGAAGTGTATTCACACACAAGTTTGAAGTAGCACATCCTGAGTTGACCCACCCACCAGTTGCACACCGAATTGTGCATAGGTCAATCACACCCATGCTGAGACTGCTCAGCAGTTGCACACCGAATTGTGCATAGGTCAATCACTCCTATTGTGAGACTGCTCAGCGATACACGCAACTAAATTGTGGTTTGATGGACGGACAAACGAGCACAGGAGAATTTGTTATTGAAATCAATTTACGAAGCTCTATAAACGGAGACATTGGTTGGGGCAAGGAAAGGAACTGAAACGAAACACTACCACATGATCGACCACAATTAGGTCTACGGACAACACATTAGTTCAACATAATTTTAGTTTAGTCTACTTCAGCTTAAGTATTGAGTTTTGCATACAGTTATCATCCCAGTTTCGGCGGAGCTGTCTTCATCATGCATACAAACGGACGTCCCTAGAGGTGGCCATTAACAAACCTGTTTCAATTGCTGTGGGTGTATGTCAAGCAGCAGCAAAAGATCGCCCAGCCGAGATTCACGTATGAGAAGATGACGCCAGTGTCCGCTATGTGTGATCGGATCGTAGGTGGTCAAGGTAGGACAGCGTGATTCGGACTGCACATTCCGAAAAGAGTCTATGAACCTTTGAACTTCGTCCAAAATGCTGACAGTACTCTTGGGCAATATGTCTACGTGATGGAATGAACCAACAGCTGTGAGGCCATCGCGGTATTTGGTTAGACGAAAACCTACAATTGGACCTGTGACAAAAGTCAAGGAAAACATGACGGAATTCATAGACATGGCGATAGAGGACAGATTGACATGTTGACATTTGGAATACAGAACAGTTCAAGAAATATATAGCGTTTATGAGGTTCCAGAGTCTGTGATTTTCTTCAGTGGAAATGAGATGAGACCGAAAAAACGGCAAACAAGTTATCCTGAGGACTTTGATTTCCACATCTATCTGTTCACAAAACCAATTAACTCAACGTGGGATCTGTTAGTTTCACTTTCGCAGCGACAGACCCGGATAAAAAAAACGTTCAGCTGTGGCATCCTTACGGTGCCTAACTGACATGCTACCCAGAGGAAGCACGAGGGCTGGGATACTGCCAGGTCCCCCAAGCCTAGACACGGGAAGTCGAGAGGCAGAGGTCGGGTTCGAACCACGGACCTTCCGTTCAGTAAATTCGCGCTCTAACCACTTGAGCCATCTAGCCCAGTCATCTTGCCAGCCGTAATTGGATTGTCCAATGAGCTTCCCTCCTATAAATGAAGTCCATCTATGCCGAAATGCACTTTCTCTGACGGCATCGAGGGCTGTGTACAATCAAATTTAATGACAGGGTAAGAGCTCGTCACATGCTGTGTCCCGGCGCGAAACTGGATTAAATGCATTTTCAGAGACCAGAAGCTTACCTTGTCCTTCCAAGTCGCATCCAATAGTCAACTCAGATTTGTTCCGATATTCTGCTGTGATGGGCTAGATGAAGGTCAAAGTGAGCAATGAAAGTCAAACGATGGATTCGAAAGGATAACTACATGGAGTTATTTCCACACGAAGAACAATATCCAGTTTTCTTTTCAAACGACTTATAGCAAAACCACTCTACATTGTAAGTGGTATAACAAGACTGGCCAAAACAAAGGTTAATCTGTCGGTAATAACTTCAACTGAACCCTAAGGCGGTATTTGTGCTCTGAAATCAGTTGAACAGCACCGTTCACTGGAGATCCCTTTGAAGTTCACTTGGATTTCTCATTCACACCGTTTTGCGATGCAGGTGATTTAGAAGAACGATAGAAAATCATTCTGATTTTGTGATTTTTTCTCGGCGAAGATGAACCAAAGAAGACTTGAGAAGCTCACTCGTCTTTCCCAAACGACCTCTACAAGTATTTCTGTGACCTCCTAATGTATGCGATACAAAACGTGGTTGGTGGACCAATAAATGTACGGTTAGCGAAGTAAAACGAATCCAAGCACTGCATATGGGGAAAATGGGTGGCCATTAGGTTGCACGGTGATGGGCCTGATTACTTGAGGCGGTGGCTTCAAGACTTATTTTGGATGAACACAGTTGATCTTGGGGGGGAAAAAGCATTGGCTCAATCCACGGAAGCAAGTTCATGTGCAAGTTTTTCCTCAGGAGCTCCCATCAGAGAGTGGATGACAAGATTGTTTTGAAGATAACCAGAAAGTAACTACCACGTAAGACATCACGGATGAAAATGAACCAAACTGAGCATTCAAGTATTCAAGAAAAATCTATATTTCCCGCTAGGACCGATGTGTGGTACAACTCAAAGACAAGATTCAAAATCGTCATGTGCGCACTTGTGCCACAGCTGATAGACAGCTAGGGTGGATAAGCCATTAACCATTAATCAGAAGAAATCTAGCCCCTTTTCAGCAATCCGCCAAAACCCGAATATTTTCACTTAATTTACATGGCACTCGCTAGGGCCAAGAAACATTCGTCCTGACTGTGATCCACGCCCTCCTATTAAAAGTGAGATGTTTCCTATTCCAAGCAATTTTACTGAAACAGGCGTTCAGAAGCATTCCGGCCTAAAGCTGGCATGGTGGTCGAGCTTGAGTACAGCAATCATCCCGCGGACTACACTGGCTGAAACTTCGTTCTACAGGGTTCAACCATGCCGGGAAGCCCAAGGGGGAACAGTCAGACCAACAGCAGCGAGACTCCGAATTGCGGGTAATCACTCTGTGAGGCGGTCTGGAGTAATGTCGTATTGTTCTGTGACAGGAGTGTGAAGGCAGTAAGACACTTCCCCGAGGCGATCAGTAGGCTCATATTCATGGAAGCAGCAATGCTGCCTTGCCTTAAGTGAGGACGGATTAGGAAAGGTCAGCCCCAAAAACCACGGGTGACAGTGACCACCGGTCATTAGTTAATGTGGTCGAGATAGTTCTGAAATCAAACAATCTGGTGATGTTCGAAAGGCACCTGCAGTGCGCAGTCGCATTAAGAGTGAGTGATGTTACTCCCTGCGTCCTCTCGCCGGGCCAGCCCGCTGCAGCTGAGCAGGTCAGACTATTGAGTAGTTAGTTGCGGGAAGGATTCACAAAAGGAAGCCCTACTTCCCGCTGCCTTGCGGGTCAGAGGATAGGAGAAGGGCTCACAAAAACAACCCTACGGTCTTCGACGTACTATGTTAGTGTCTATGGAGCGAAGGTGCCCCCATAAATCCTTGACTCTCCATAAGACGCTGTATGCAACTCCCACGGACCCTTGAAAGTCTACGGGAAGCTCCCGCCTGAGTTCACCACATCAAGCGGTGTTAGGCAATGCTGTCCTTTCATTTTTTTCTTAAACTCCGTCATTGATAACGCTATGAAAGACTCACTACCAGCTTCTGATCTCTGTGGGGTCCAAGTGCTCCTGAGGCATCCACTTACAGGTGTCGAGTACACAGACGACATAGCTCTTCTTGGATGTGACGCCATTGTGGTGCAAGCAACGTTAAATAATCTAAATAATTCTGCCTCACGGTTTGACATGCACTTCGCACTTTCAAAGTGTAAACTGTTGCTGCAAGACTGTGTGGGCTCGAACCCTAGCCTCATGCTTGGGGATGAACCGATTGAGGTAGTAAACAAATTTGATCACCTGGGCAGCTGCATCAGTCCCGGTGGTCTCGCAAAAGATGATGCCTCCATCCGCATTGGGAAGGCCAGAGCAGCTTCTTTGAACCTGCGTCACCTGTGGCGTAGGTGTGACATCATCTCATCCATCAAGGGTCGAGTACATAATGCTTCAGTGCTCTCCATATTATTATAGGAATCAGAAACCTGGTCCCTTCGCACTGAAGACGCCGACTAACCTCAGGGGAATATTTTTCGAAAAGCACACCCTCTACAGGATGAGGCACCTTTATTGACGTCTACCATCGACACTTCGTAGCTGATTAACAAACCAAATGATACGGTAGATTTAAAAATCAAAACGAACCCCAAGAGGTACTGCATAACTCACCGAGGGGACAATTTCCAAGAGAGGGCAAGCGCACAATTTGTCGGAAGAATCTCGCTGCAGGCTTCAAGGAGAGTAAAAACAGTGCAAGCAACTCAAGCAAGAACATTATGTCTCCCATTCAGAACACCTTAAAGACTAGAACTTACCCAAGCGTGAGAAGTGAATCGCTTATGGATGGGTTTGATTCGATTAACCTGGTTCGCATCAGAGCCAGGATAGAGATCACGTGATTGTTTTTCTCTAACAATTGATCCGGGTTATAGGGTAGTCGGTACAGGGGGGTTACGATATCTCGGAGTCTATAAAAGGATAAAAATAGGAGAATGATTGAAGCAACGCATTCTAAGAGGGAGTGCTGGCTTATAAAACTACACTCAAGGTAAATCTCAACGGTTACTGCATGGGAGAAACAGAAGCAACGGCCACTGATATTGATGCACCCAAGATCCAGCCTGAGCCAATAAGATAACAACATCGATAGTCAACCACAATTAAAGACTAAATATAACGCACAGTGTCACTTTGCACATATACGGAAAAACCTGTCGCATTTTGTCACGTACAGATAGAGTGCGTCGACATGGACTACATTGAAACGCACCTGCTGTTGATCAAAAATCCGAAGGAATTCGGTACCTATCTACCACCTTAATAGTAAACAAATACAATATCACAAGCTTAGATAGAGGGCCAGCAACAGGACATAGTACACCATCTCCCGCAGGAAATCTGGAGGGGGAGTCATTCGACTGAAGCCCTACCAAGTACGCAAAACCTTCCCGTATGGAAACAAATTAGAAGGCATGACGGCCACCAGCAAAGTTCCCGATCGGTCGTTATATCCGTCACACGCAGTAGACTAAGCATTTAGAAGAGGCGCACGCTGAAACAGGCAAACGAGCTTTTTCATATGGACAAACACTCTCAATTGACAGGAGACTCAGCTAAATCCAGCTCAATTTCTGGTTCATGATGGTCCGCTTCAACTGAGCTGCATTAAGCGGAGTCTCCAATCAAAACCAAATTCGTGTGCAAATAAGAGTATTGGTCGAAATTCGTTCAATTTAAGCCCACAGAGAACATAAGGTTGGCGGGAACCGGGGAGTGTGCCTACTAGATGAACCTCAAGAAGGCAAAACTAGTCGTGGGCTGTCGAAAGGTTTTCAGCAACCTTATGAGTAGTGTGTTACGTCTAGCTTTTCATACTTTGCGGGCAAATTGGTCACGGTCACTAAAGAAAAATAATGGGTTATTTGTTACCCACCGGTCGGCTTGATCTGCAGAAGACAGAGCCTCGCTGACACATGTCCGTTTCCCACCAGCCGCTTCAAAACCATCCGCGGTTGCATGTCTTTTGTGCAGCAACGGGTCGGCTTTGCCGATTGCCACCTGAACGAAACACACAACAGGAAAGCGAGTGTTAGATCGAAAGAAACGTCTTATAATAGATACCACACATACAGTCCGATTTACCTTAGCTTCGAACGATTTGCCACGCCAAACGTAACCATCCAGAATAGCGATCGCCGCATCACGATCTTCAATCGTGCTAGGATGGGATATCAAACAAATATGGAAAACCGAGGACCTACCAAAATGTGATGAAAGTAACCTCAGGCAGAAGTTTTACTTTCCTATATTTGACGTTCAATGAATCCAACAGCTTCTTCAGTTGCTGGAAGAAGAAGATGCATGAAAAAGTGAAAGACTCCCAACGATAGTTGACGACTTTCTGGGCTGCAAATTCCCAAATCACGCAAGACATGAACCAGTGGATCGTTAAATCATTGCGTAATCACTAAATTAGTGGGACACAGAATGGGTAGTGAAGAAATTTTTCAGTTAAACCATCCACATAGCCATCGAACCCATACGTACCTAGTTCATCCACATTCTCTCCATCGGTAGAACGAACGCAAGCTCCAGGGTTTCAACACTAAGCTGCGGAACCACCAGTTGTTCACTACCCGACAACTCAGACTCGGTTATGAAATTAGTTTGGAGACTCCTGACTTCCTTCAAGCTTGCACGGTATCTAACGGACTGCTTATACACAAAACGGAAACTACTATGAGGTGACGAAAAAACGTCCGGCACGCAATGGATGGCGAAAAGTAAGCAGGATACACACGCACGGAAATAGCGGCTGGTCATTCGACATGGGTTCTGCCTAAAGCCTGTCTCTTAGGGGTCTAATATGTGTATTACAATGCACAAGTATACCTAACCGACAGTTGTGCACTATGAATTTGTCAAACTCACGGGCTTTGTTCACCAAAGCATTACAGTATTCCTATAGGTGTTATGCTGCTCACACGCAGCTTTGCATTAGGGCAATGGAATTGAATGTTGAAGCTTTTGAGTGTGCATAAACGAACCAACCGTTGGTTCTATTCTTATTATATTCTTAATACGAACAGCGATTTTTTTCACTTTTTTATTTGGGTTCTGTTTTCGACCTGAATGTAAACAACTATTTGACTTTGGCGCCTAGTTCAATAAAGCCACATGGTTTTCTATACAGGAAAATGTCGGTAGCTCAGGCAACGTAGATGGTCGTTGGCTTGTTCGCTGAGCTGGGCAATTTGATTGCAAACGTTTCATCACCAATCGAATTGACATCATCAGTGCGTTATTGCACAACCACTAATCCACTGCTACGCATAACTACGCTCCCCAATAACGCACTGATGATGTCACCTCGATTGGTCTTCGTCACCTTATGGTTACTACCTTGACTCTGCGTGGACTTTTAGTAGGCGTTCCTTTTCTATTTTATTCGTATAAAATAGGTTTCACGCACATCGGTGTATAGTATTCGACATCATTACACAATTCAGAGTGCGTACCATTTTATCCTTGCACCTCATTTGTTCATTAACATTCGTTCGAATAATTCAACTTTTTGTTTCGCGCGTTATTCAACGTGGCCCAGCTGGGCACAATCGATTTTAAAACAGCTTAATTATGTTTATTACTACTAAGTTGCGCTGTTTTGAAAATACAAGCGTCTTACTGCTTGCTACCGCGTAGTCTGTGGCCAGTGTAGATATTCTGGATAAACTTGAAGTCGAAACGTTGGTCCAACACAGGCCCCCAAAGAATACACCGTATCCGACCAGAATTGGTATTAGTGAATGGAGTCGACCACTTTTGCGGTATGTTAAAAAGGGTTTACTGTGGGGATTTTGTCCTGTAAGCGACTCTTAGGGGTCTAATATGTGTATTACAATGCACAAGTATACCTAACCGACAGTTGTGCACTATGAATTTGTCAAACTCACGGGCTTTGTTCACCAAAGCATTACAGTATTCCTATAGGTGTTATGCTGCTCACACGCAGCTTTGCATTAGGGCAATGGAATTGAATGTTGAAGCTTTTGAGTGTGCATAAACGAACCAACCGTTGGTTCTATTCTTATTATATTCTTAATACGAACAGCGATTTTTTTCACTTTTTTATTTGGGTTCTGTTTTCGACCTGAATGTAAACAACTATTTGACTTTGGCGCCTAGTTCAATAAAGCCACATGGTTTTCTATACAGGAAAATGTCGGTAGCTCAGGCAACGTAGATGGTCGTTGGCTTGTTCGCTGAGCTGGGCAATTTGATTGCAAACGTTTCATCACCAATCGAATTGACATCATCAGTGCGTTATTGCACAACCACTAATCCACTGCTACGCATAACTACGCTCCCCAATAACGCACTGATGATGTCACCTCGATTGGTCTTCGTCACCTTATGGTTACTACCTTGACTCTGCGTGGACTTTTAGTAGGCGTTCCTTTTCTACTTTATTCGTATAAAATAGGTTTCACGCACATCGGTGTATAGTATTCGACATCATTACACAATTCAGAGTGCGTACCATTTTATCCTTGCACCTCATTTGTTCATTAACATTCGTTCGAATAATTCAACTTTTTGTTTCGCGCGTTATTCAACGTGGCCCAGCTGGGCACAATCGATTTTAAAACAGCTTAATTATGTTTATTACTACTAAGTTGCGCTGTTTTGAAAATACAAGCGTCTTACTGCTTGCTACCGCGTAGTCTGTGGCCAGTGTAGATATTCTGGATAAACTTGAAGTCGAAACGTTGGTCCAACACAGGCCCCCAAAGAATACGCCGTATCCGACCAGAATTGGTATTAGTGAATGGAGTCGACCACTTTTGCGGTATGTTAAAAAGGGTTTACTGTGGGGATTTTGTCCTGTAAGCGAAGCCAATATGTGCTGAAAAACCAAGAAGCACTGTACAGATGTTTCATCCTTATTGGGAATCATCAGCAGTGCCCATCTCACAACGAGACTCCGGAGAGCCTCCAACCTGCAACCTCCTGGCTAATGGTTTGAACACTTAACAGTTCCGCCACTGAGAAGTCATTGCTCGAGGAACCAGTCAACACGTGTGACCGAATGATGTGGATCCCGTGATTGAAGGATGAGCGACGCTATATCCTGCCTAAGTGCGAGTTAATCACTGCTGATCAGCTGCTCGTGGCCTAACGATTAAGCGTTCAAACAACCGGGAGGTCAAAGGTTCGAGACTTTCCGGAGTTTCGTGAGATGGGCATTGCAGATGATGACTCCAAATAAGGGCGAAACAGCTGTACGGTGCTTGTCGGCCTTCCAAAATTTCACACTACCAACAAAGCCGTTACTTTGAAGGCAAAGCTGTGCTAATGCCTACACTCAAAAGGCCGTAAGATGTATCTTGCAAAAATATGAGTGCCAATGGTAACTGTGGATAAAGCCTGACTTTCGTTTATTGCGTACCCAGCTTTGGACTTCGTGTAGGTTTAGAACGCATTCCGAAATTTCGAACCAGACTTCACACTTCTGAACATGGGAATTCAGCATTTCAGGCTAGCCGTCAGTTCAATGTTCATGAGCTGATGTCTACGTGACTCACCCGTCACATCAGCTATTGTATTTAAGTACAGTAGCCAGTCGCACATAGTTCCCCGGAGAGCCCTTTTACAACAACCACAACCGTGAAAACTAGCCAGGAAAGGTCAAACGACTTGGTAGCGATGTATGGAAGTCATTACAAACAAACTCCACTACGTTGGTCATTGCTGTCTCCCTGAATCGGGACCCGAGACGGGACATATCAGTGGTTAGAGATACTGAAAAACACAGCCCAGTCGCGTGTGTATCCAGTATGGTACCTGTATTGCAATACAATTTCTCCAAATGGAAATACTGCCGACATACCTGACTTCACGTATCCATTGTATCACCTACTGCCCTCAACGAGTAGCTATCCAACCTTATCGCTCCAGGTAATTAGCAAGCAAAACTTTGGCAGCTATAACCACTGGGCAATGTGTAGGCAGTTTTTGCAGCTGAAGATGATAATACTAGTGCTGGCATATAGGTCACTGCGAGAATTCGGGCCCCACACTGGTAGGTGGTCTCTTTTCAGAAAGAACGCACACTAAATCATGCTTGGCAGGAAACGCCTTTGTGCATTCTAGAAGGGGGTTGCCTTCTCAAAAGGATTTATCGTCACTAGCATTGCACATTTAACATCACCATATAGAGTCACAGATCTTATTTCAACTGTCATGTTCACGTAATGCAGATGAGTGAGGGGTGGGAAAGGGTCTTTCATGGGGGGAGCTAGAAAGTTGGAGAACCACTGCGTTAACATACCTTGAATCCAGTGTACTTATGTATATTCTTCAGTTGGATCTTGTAGGCCTCTGAGGTGAACGTATCCCGCTGAAGATATTGGTATGGACAGTCGGGGTGATCACACCCTGGACGTTGCGGTCGACTGGCGATTGATTGCCCCGTGTGCAGAAGTCGAAAGCAGTCACATTTGATATTGGGTTGCTCCACTGTGTCAGGCAAAACTGACGGATCTAGGGAATTCGCTTGTTCAGCGGTTACCTCTGCTGACATTGTGTGCTGCTAAAAGAAAAGCGAAGCGGTACAAGCACGGTGACACTAGAACAAAATAACGTTTGAAAAACATAGATGGCGATAAGAACTGATACTGACTTGATGTGCTGGCGATAGAGAAAGCCAGGAAAATCCCGTGAGGAATAGTCGCTCAAGAGGATAACAGCTGTGCCACATGCTTGAGAAGACAGATGAGATATGTCTGAGTGATATTAAAAAACAGTAATTCAGCTGGTGCATAGCTGCCATGCCAGTCAAAGGAGACACGAGGGCCGAAATACTGCTGGGTTGCCCAAGCCCAGAGAAGTGCAGTCGAGATGCAGAGGTCGAGTTTGAACCACTGGCCTTCAGGTCAGTAAGTTCGCGCCTAAACCAGTGAGTTAGCTCTAATAGGGCTTTTCGGTCTACAACTGACAGACAGCACTTATCTGTGGCTTCAAACGGTACCAATCCCATTTACAGCAAGTCAATTTATACATGAATCAAGCCACCGGATCACTGTTCGGGTTTGTCATTTTAACCCGTGACTATCACACGATTCATTCAGTTATAGCTAGTTATGTAAAGCATGCATAGTGTCTCTCGCGTTCATTTAAAGTGTTCGGTTTCTCCAAAGTTGATCCTTCTCACAAAAAGAGGAGAATGAAACAAACTAAACCTATCGATAAACGACACGTCCCCTTGGGAGGATTTTTCGAATCTTTTGACTTGAGGTCAATAAAGTACGGAGATAGAAAGATCACACCTGGAAACACTTCACCAAAGATCATATGGTAAAAAACTAGAGGAGAGGTCTTAGGGTTGTTTTGATCGGACGTGGGATGTTAAAACTGTGGATCTGGCAAGCTCCCTCAGTAGCGTAAGAAATCCAGAACCTATGGAGTATCAGTAATAAGGCTCTTGAGAAACTGATGAAATATTTACCTACCTTTTCCTTTGCTGATTCAAACAGGTATTTGTGTCTAAAAATCTCAACCCACGGAATATGGTTCTCATATGTTACCGACTGCGCCCTTCCTTTTCTGGCTACATTACTCACCGAACTTTTATCCGAAAACTGAAGGAAAACTGCGATATGGACGTTGGATCACATTGTCCCGTCTTAAAACGTGTTCGATTCACTATGCCCATCCTTATTAATCCCATCATTTGGGAGCATTTTGCGAAGTGGTCGACATTTCGAAAATCTTTTGACCTTCCGATGTATAGTATTATAAACAAATCACCTTCGGTCTGTTCAGATTCTGCGCCCTTGCTTGTCACCTAATAGAGCTAGCAACATAGGTGCTTTTACTTAACGGTTAACTGTTCGTGATTGGACTTAGGGAAAGTTCAAACTAGCGTTAGCCACCGTTTATATATTATTTAGTGACATCTTTGTACCACATTTCTTCCACCTTCAACACCTGATGTGCGATGTCTTATTCTGCGCTGAAGGGTGCAAAGACTCTTACTTGCCTTGAACTGGCAATCAAAGCCCGGGAGGATGCGTAATGCCTCTTGAGCTGCCAAACGTTGTTTCCGAAACACTCCATGAAAACTTAGTATGCACATAAGTCGGTCTCAGAAACGTTCATCTGTTCGTTAAGGTCAGCAGTTCAGCGGCAAACGTAGTCAATAGGGGAGACGACGTCGGAAGTGAAAATCAAAGAAAAGTCTGGTCACGCAGGCTATCCATGGGCCATCATTCTTACTAGTTTATTGAGTGGTTGGTCCTTTGATTAGTCGATTAGTGGAGCTCGCCGAACACAAAGCCTGAGCCAACGATACTATCCCCCCCTCGATACAGACAGATCAGATCCCCGTAAGGCTATCTGGAGTTGCAACAAGGGGAAAGCATTCGCATAGCTGTGTCTTCCGAAAACCAACCACACCTCTGATAAGTAAAATTTGTTCAACTCCAGGCTCATGGCTTGATGCTTATGAAGTCCTCCAAGAGGACCGACGACTCTAACTGTTCTCCAACAGCCAGGCGGATGTTTGAATTAGTCAATGGTTGATCCAAACCAAATCCCGCACCTGAGGAAACAAGCCTGTTTAAATTGAATCGGTTCCTCCAGGCAGTTTACTTAAACTTCGTTAATACATCACTTGATGCCTCATTTGTGCTCCAATGCAGCATCCGAAAAGATGAACCAAAACAGTTCTGAACACGAAAATAACGAGTTTGCGAACTGTCAAGATATTGGTGGCTTCAGCAGGTTTGCTGGTTGGTGGTCTGTTCGCGTAGCAAACAAGCTAGGACAACAGGTCAACAACCGGAATAGCGAGTTCGATTGACATATGATAGACTTCATGAGAAAAGAAGAGAAATGGGGAGGATGGTTTTTCCATATCCATTGATTGATCTATAGCCCATGTAGGAAACTCTCAGTTCCCTACGGAGCTCTCAGTTCATTCTTGACTTCAAGTATTCCCTTATCTGTTTTTTTTTGTTTGGAACGGTATCAAAAAATCTTGATTTCGCTCAATGATGAATGTCAGTTTCATAACAGCGCTTTTATGAACGCCTTGTTGTACAGTGGTCAGCTTTTAGAAGAATGAATCGAATACTCTTGTTCGCGGAATTCTCTCCAAAAAGGACTCATTCTTCGTGACCATCCAAAAATGTATCCAGCCTTATTTGCTTGTTTTTCGGTCACAACTGAACTTTGCTAATGTCAATTAAGTTCTTGAAATGAGACATGCATGTGCGCATAGGGAGGGACTCGAAACGCTTGTCGTACGGAAGCACTAACGATTGAGTACTCAGGACGCTTCCTACCTGTGGAGCTTGTACACCTGTACTGCACAGCTGATTCATACCTCTATCTAATGAAATAATAGTTTACATCTTTCCATGAAGCCTGTGAGTCCATCGTGTGACTTTCACGCTGGACTGGAGGTTGACATCATCAGGTTCTCAAGGGAAATTGATGTAGGTTGTTGGAAAATAGAACGGAGGTTGACATATCTTGAGATGAGAGGACTAGGTACAAGCGGCATGATTGAAAAACACTCATGGGGTAAATCAATAACAACAGTGACAGATATCAATTGTTAATCAATTAGACGAAAGCGCGGCAAATCAGCTGTGAAGATCAGATCTATAGGAGTGATGGGATTCGAGTTCGGCCGATAGAGCACCCGCCCCGTAAGCGAGGTCTGTGGTTCGAATGTGCCTTAAGATATGTGTTTTCGTTCAGGCGACGTGAAACCTTCAGTACCACATCTCTCAGATTCTCTTATAATTTCTAACAACCTAATTTAGTTGTCCCGCATGCAACCAAAACGAGTTTACTACGACGATTTACAGGTAACCAATGTCTCTCATTGTCTTGCAGAAGTTCCGGTTCATTGGGGCCAATTTATCTTTGCTGGGAGGCGAGATGGACCAAGTGGTTAGAGCGCGAATTTTCTGATCGGGAGGTCCGTGGCCCGAATCTGACCTCTGCTTATCGACTTCCCTGTCTAGGCTTGGACAACCTGGCAGTATCCCAGCCCTCATGCTTCCTTCGGATGACATGGCAGCCAGGCACCGAAAGGGTGCTACAGCTTAACGGTTTATTTTACTTTTTCAGACAGGTTGACAAAATCTGGTCTCTGTGTCAATGACGAAGAACAAGCCTGGTTCACCAAAAACTGTCAAACGTGTTTTCGCCGCACCAAGGTCATGATTGAATTTGTAAGACTAAATAGAAAACACCAATGGCCACCAGCCTCGTCCAAGTGTTACCGTGCTAATATTCAGGTAGCACTTGGCAAAACAAAGGTGACAATTCAAACAGTAGATAGTTAATCGTTCGTTCAGACTTCGTTGTAGTAGACCGAAGGAGCGCTGTCTCAGACTTCCGCGATAGGTTACGCTGACTGTGCAAATAGATACCTTACGAAGATAGGTCCATCTACCAAAAGGAACCAAACAGGAATGTCTCGAAAGAGACTTTAAGTTTAGGGTCTCAAGTGTGGATTAGATCAGGATCACCAACCACCTCAGATAACTGCGAGATGGCTCAGTAGTTAGGGCGCAAATTTACTGACCGGAAGTTCCGTGCTACGAACCCAACCTCTGAATCTCGACTTCCCCTCTCTAGGCACGGGCAACCTGGCAGTATCTCATCCCTTGTGCTTCCTTCGGGTAGCATGGTAGCTAGGCACCGGAAGGGTGTTATAGTTAAACGATTTATTTTATTTATTTATTAATGAGCCGCCTTTATCATCAATCGTTTCACTGACCGTTGCTTTCCTAAGACCAGCCGATGGTAGAACACGGCTGTTTCTGGCAGTAAAAGCCTTCTCCATCTCCCAAGATTTCGATGTCCATCAGAGCTCTCGAACTTTCCTTAGGCACTTTACTATTTGGTGCTTAGGGTGTGCCTTATCTGCGTCAGCATTAGGACAAGTGGAGCTATATCCCATCGGATTGCGAGTCAATTTCACATACTGCTGATCAGCCACTGTTCAAGTCAATAACTGGTTCGAGGGTCACTAGAGATTGAGATGCGCACTGCTGATGATTCCAAACAAGGATGAAACAGCTGTACAGTGATTCTCGGTTTTTCAGCATAGATTGGCATTGTGTACAGGACGGAATCTCCATTAAAAGCCCACCATCAAACTTAACAAATATTCCCACTATCCACCCACTATATGGATGCGACACATCTCTAATGACTTTAGATGGATCCTATCCTCGGTACCAACCAAGGCTTGAAGGCGACAGCAATCACAATTCAGCAGAGATATACGGTAGTTAGGGACCACAGAGTGCAATGGGGAGAAACTTAACAGAGAGAGGATGTAAACACAGATATGGCACAATATGTTGACTTTGGATCACACACTCGCGATGGTGATTCTAACAGGTGATCCGTAGGTAATGCACTTGAATAAAGCTGGCGGCGAAACTTCACCTTCACTCCAGCTAACAACGGAGACGTCTTGGACGAACCCATGACCTGTATTCAGGTAGTAAGGTTTTCCTTCCACATGAATTGCTTATAGCATAGATGGGAAAAACAGAAGCCCACCTGATCACATAAACAGTCACCCAAACGATCTCCTAGTTACACCCATGGGCGAGATGGCCCAAGTAGTTAGAGCACGAATCTACTGACCGGAAGGTCCGTGGTTCGAATCCGACCTCCGCCACTCGACTTCCCCTGTCTAGGCTTGGGCAACCTGGCAGTATCCCAGCCCTCGTGCTTCCTTCGGGTGGCATGGCAGCTAGGCACCGGAAGGGTGCTACAGCTGAACGCTTTCTCTTACACCCATGCATTTTTGCATGACACTGACCTAGAGACTTAACTCAAGCTAACAATATGGGCACAACAGATTGAACAGTTCAATTATAGACACAGTGTTAAAGAGCTGGTGTGGTAAAAAGATATATTTACAAATGATCCAAAGATAGCTGTACATTAGTGATCCAAATATTGTCGCTGCATCTCACCGAGGATAGTGGATGTCGCCGCTAGAACATTTAAGCTTTCAGTGTCCGGGGAGGAAGGGATGACGATACGTGAACCGCCAGTTAGATGTGCCAAATAGTAAGCCTCAGGAGAGAGACCCTCTACTTCAGACCCAACAACAAGCACTGGCTTGAAATCTATTTTTTCGGAAGGCAGTTTACAGCTTGGAGTTTCATCCACCGGAGGCCCTGCAGAAAAGTAGCTGATCCGAAAGTGAGGTGCCGAGGGAAGTGGAAGCCGGTAAGCTGTGGCAGTAGCAGGATCTGAGACGAAACTTCGAAACGAAGCTGGGAAAGTCGCTTCAAATGTCTCCTCGCTGTCGTCTTCAAGATCGATATCGGAACCGACAGCCTGAGTCTACAGGTAACCAAAAAACGCTAGTAAAAGACGAGTGAAGAGAAAGATCAGGAAATGATCATCATATAGTACTACAAATATTGCCTCAGGGCCCGGCAGAAACGTAAACGATGGCACACTAACGGTAGTCGTGCAATTCCGGTTAACACTAGCACCACTATCATCATAACGGAAACCTGAAAATCCTCACTATTATATTACAAATGCTTTGAGGAGAATCATACGTTCGGCCGTAAGATCTCTTTTCTCACGATGTCAGTTACCGGAAACTGGAAGATGCTTATCGGAAATCTACCAGAATTTGTATTCTGTCAGCCGTTGTTGGAGACCCAATCTTTACAATAAGTCAGTTAGAATTAGTTGTATGTATTTCTCAAGACCGGGAGGGTGAGATTTGTCCGACGGTTGTCTGTCCCTCCTACCTTAATCAAACTCTTCATTCTAACCACTGAACTGCTCACCCGCGGACTGCCGAAAGTTGAATTCGCTGCCATCAGACGGTGGATCAGAACGCTGTCCTCCTCTGGTAACAATTCCCATAATTCCCTCACTGAAACCTCGATAGATCGATACATCGAAAATTGTCTAGACGTAACACACTATTCGTAAGGTTGCTGAAAGCTTTTCGACAGCTTACGACTCTTCTTGGGGCTCATCAGGTAGACGCGGTCCCCGAGTTTCGGTCAACCTTATACTCTAACTGAGCCAAAAACTGGGCCATCATAAACGAGAGATTCAGATGGAATCAGTTGAGTCTCCTGACAAAACCGCATTCGTATGCAATTGAAAGTTTGTTCATATTTACCTGACACAATCTTCCAAGATTTCTTCTAGCAGCCACCTGCTGAGCTAAAAAAACTTCCTTCCCAAGATCTTCCTGATGAGCTGCGACATACTTTCGTACACGAGAATCTCTGTCTATAATAACTCTATAGTCCCGTACTGTTTTGACCAGAGTCTTCACCTTCTTCTTTAAGCGTGAAATTCTGAAGATGCTATGGTAACCGGTTTCACTCATATTCTCTAATCATTTTGATGACTTTTACTAGATATTCGTAGGTGCAGTTTGTGTTTACATATCCGTTCAAACGCTCGTTAGGAAATTTACCAGTAAAGATGAAGAAAAAACATTTTTATCTCGCCTTGTCTTATGCTACTGATCCACTCGCAAAATGACTGATCTTGATGCTCAGCGTGATTTTCCAAACACGGGCTACTTGGATATCGGATTGCGGAGTGATAATGTTCAAACTTACTGCAACAGCTTCGATTTTACTACATTCTGCTATTCGCTTCTCTGTTTCTTCGGAGGCCACATCAGCGACGAAAACTTTCACATTATTCCCGCCACTTGTCCCCAAAAACTGAGCAGCCTCGTCAGCTAGGCGCTCTCCAATCTCGCGCCATGACAAGTTCTGGTACACCGGAATACGAAAATGCGAAGACATACCAGCACGAATAACCTTCTCGTTCCAGATATCTACGCTCCCTGATTTAATAGAAGGAAATGGAAGAATAAATATGTAATAAAAGAATGCTGCTTATGAGCTGAGGTTAAATCACCATCATTCTAGCATTAGCATCAAGGAGAACTTGGGTGGCAAGTAACGACCGCGTGTACTAGGAGGGACTGCTTGATGTTAAATTGAGCTTACTTGTGCTAGACCATCTTCTAGCATTGACTCAGACCGTGTCTGATACATATAACACTCGAGACGAAGACCTTCTTAGCAGTACAGTATGGTGAACAAGAGTATGGGCTTTTAAATTTGTAAGAAAGGAATCCCAAACGACACGAAGTAACTGAGAAAATGCTGTAGATGGGTCCTGTTTCAGACTGGACCTCACAAATATATCGTCCGAAAAGCCATTCTGGTGACCAACCTCTGATACCATGCGGCATTCTACGACAGGTATTTGTTAAAGTCGGAGTGAGGATACCAGACGAAGTAAGATAAGGTGAACATAGTATGGATTTGTGGCTCACTTGTCAACGCAGTTCAACAGCACATCTAACAAGTGTTTAAACGAAAGTAGTGTGCCCAGAAGCCATGACATCAGGGAGCCGACAGCTCAGTGCGACTTCCTCGGCCAACAAATAGTAGCTTAGGATAACTTAATAAGCATGTAGCTCAGTGGATCCCGGGGTGGAAGCACAATATTCAGATTGTCCTGACAAAAGCGGATTATCGATATTTGAACTAAATTCGGAGATAATAAAAGCATGACAAGCAGATGGCCTGTAATTGTGATACGTGAACATGCACTTTGCGGCCAAGATGCACAGGAAGGTCCTACAATTGTCTCCGACCAAGTAGTACACCCGAAAACTAGTAAATACGCATCTGGAGTACGTACATCTAGTTAACAGTGGTCGTATTTAATTTCGGTCAAAGAAACTCATTTTAAGAATCATCAACAACGTAGGAAGTTCGTACATCTAAGTAAACAACCGAATACCACAGTGTGGACCGGTCGCTCGCACAACACATCCGCACAGCTAGGGTCAGTCGTCCCCTGATTTAGCCTCTGAACAAATCTTCGCAAAACGCCAGTACTATTATGGAAGGGACGGTTTTTGGGCACAACGACAAGCTGAGCTACTTGCGTCGGCCCACATGAAAAATTCAAGCCTAGCTATCCACCGCACTCGCAATGAAGTGAGCTGGTTACACGAGAAAGAATTAATTGAAGGATGTTGTCGGCACCAGCTCCATGTCAATCTACACAACAGCTGATTAGGCCACACGTCAGCTCACTAGGCTCCCAGGCCTGGAGAGGATGATAATCTGCTGGCCTGCACGCCTGCAATTCGCTGTATCAGCGTGAGCAGTGTGCATCCACATCCTGTCTGTCATTAGTCAGTCGAACAGGAACGTCATGGTCAGGTGATTCATAGTCACGTCAGTGGCACTGTGTTGAAATAGATTATAAATATATAGCTCCGACTTTCGACTACACAGTCACGTCTAGAATAAGTGGATGAACCACCTGGGATGAATCCGAGTAGTGCCATCCAGACAAGCGAAATTCCGATTCATAATACCTGAACGCCTCAACTGAGTCTTGCGCCCAAGCAACAAGACATCAGCTGTTCTAGCCGGAGAAAAGTCACTACGCAGATTGAACGTTTTCCCATTCTTCTAGGTACATTCACCACTCATTCACAACCGAAAGTGCAGTGCGTGTCGTATCTGATAATCACTAGAATCTGCGATAGAGATTGCTAGCCAATCCATCCTTTGTTATTTGTCAATCCGAGCCCCTACGTTGGCTGGGAAGGCTGGCATTCAAACAACTGGAAGTACGCGACGTGCTTTGAGGAGTTACTAATTCAAAACCAACTCAACCACATTTGAGTAATGTATGGTGCGTTGCTCGTTTGTACGTTATTCAACAGTGTTTGTTTGTTTACTTCCCCAAAATACTTGTTTTTGCAGTTGAGACAGCTACAATGATGAAAAAATCAGGGGAATCTCCTTCGTCCACAATCGTGAGGACAGTCGAAATCGCGTGGTAATAGTTTTACTGGCTTTTCCGGTATACACAAAAACAAACTGATTCATTTCACTTGCCACTTTTTGAGCCTAAAGAATGCAACTGAAGCAGCTGTGAAGGTAGCAAGGTAAGTAACTGTACTAGGGCTATTTGCCGTTATAAGTGAACGTGTTGGATGCAGTTATTCGGTTTCAAAGAGAGTAATATTAGTGCTTTAAATTGCATCTCACACATCAAAGTTCCCATTTCAAGAAATTAACCAATTGGTTTATTCCTTAAGTGGTGGATAGACAACTTCAGCAAACAAGACATTAAACAGCGCACTGCTGAGAATATGGATGGAAGACACCTAGCTGCTTCATCAACTGAACCACTAACATAAAGCAAACACCATAACCTCAAGTCACTAGTTAAGGGACACAGTGTTAGCTAATGGATGTTTTCACAGCATACTCAAGTTAATAATTGATTTTAATAAAACTTCAGACTTTCTTAACACAGGATCTAAGACGTCCATCTCCCTGAAGCAACTACCTCAGGTAAGTCCACATTAAATATGACAAATTAAAAAAATGAAAAACTAAAACAACATTAATTAAAAATGACCAGGCATAGCTGCAGTGCTACCCGAAGGAAGCGAACGATGACAGGAGCAATCGAGATGACGGAGTTAGGGTCGAACCACGGACCTCGCGATCAGCAAGCTCGTGTCTTAAACACTGAGCTATCTCGAGCTCAAGTAGGCTTTGGTGTGTAACGAAGAGGAATTACGCTGAACTCAGTTGCTGAAAGTGAGAAAACGGTATTAAAACTACGAGAAGCGCCATAATCTAGCTGTAAATTGTACGTATACGCACCAAGTGATTTAGGCACGAATGTTCGTCTCAAAAATCGTCTTTAGTTAGAATGTCGGATTCCCATTACCCTTTCGCAGCCTCCTTTGGGATAGTCGGAATACAGGCGACAAGAAAGGCTACTATCCAATCGATCCACATACCTTCGGAGACAAGTACAGAGGACAGACCGAAACTGGCCGCAGTACGCAGTAAACTACCCATATTGCCTGGGTCCCGAATTCCATTAAGTACCAAGGTAGCTGGCAAAGGGCGCCAAAGTCCATGGCTAAGATATCTGGTTGTCAAACTCGCAGGATCTGGAACTTCAAATATGGCTGTAACAGATCGGATGGACATATTAGAAATGAGACAAGTTTTTTTTCCGTGAAAGCCAAATATAAAAACCCAATAAAGCGAACAAGAACCAAATGCGAAACAGCATGTGCGAAGGGAAGGAAAATGTGTTTTGGAATGGGCACTTATAAGACAAACGGCTGAGCACTTAAAAGTATGTCTATCGTTACAGAGTTGCTCCGCCAGACTATTCACACAACGATGGGACTTCTATTAAGGTCATTAAAAATAACCCCTGGTAGTATTCAGAAATCGATTAGCTTTACGCCAGGATACGCCTTCAGTAAGTCAGAAAAACGCATAAACTCTGAACAAGAAACTCTCAGCAAAGTCTGTTTAACTTTCTGCGCTTCCAATCCCATAAGATGCAAGCGTGTCTCCACGCCCCCTCCCCTCACTTTTACTGCACAACAGTCGAAGTAATTTGCTCCTTTAAGTACATCCGCAGCAACACGTCAGCAACACACCTCACGGAATATTACAGTATGTCGCCATAAGGCGAGGAAGGATAGAGACTGGGTATGAAAAAAACCGTTTTTAGGGAAGCTAGTCAGGAAAAAAGTTCCCACATCTTCCTGCGCATCAGATCGGAAAGGCACCAGTGAGACTGGTTGAAAATCCTTACGAACCTTACCTATCATAAGTCGGGCGCACAATCAAAGACAGACTTTGGCCAGGCGGTTTACTCGTACGCCTGGCTTCTGCGAGAAACCAGTGTGCAAATGCATGAACTATTTCAAACAACAAAGGGTCTTACAGCCAGATGAAGGAATTCCTATTAAGCCCATAGAGCATCCCGCAACCACTAACACGGAATGCACGAGAGGGAAGGAACGGAGAATTCACCACAACAACTAACATGTGCCTCCAAACTACTGACTCACCCAAGAGACCCGGACACGTCTTCATAGATGAAAATCGCTCCAAAGTGTGACGAGGAACATAGTATATGTCTTCGATCCGCTCTGTTGAAACCAGGCGCTGGAGAGCGTGGCGCGATGAAAAGTAGAGCGAGTGTACGTGACCTCCGCTAGCAAGTGCATCCATAATCAATTGCTCTCCTTCTAACACGACCGTCCTCATAGCTGGGGATACCGGCGATTGCCTCGCACGCCGCCCCCGTGCTACTTCAATGGCATCACTTTTCTAAATTGGCGTTTCAGTAAAAGAAATTCCTTACCATAATCGTGGATCATTACCTTCCAGCTCTGCATATGCCTGTTTGGCAATCCTTGCCTGCTTGAGAGATTCTCTTCCAGAAGTAAATACAGCGGTCCTGGAGTTATGGGGGTTTGGGACGGTGACTGACGCACGCTGCACTGGATTTGGTTTGATTCTGCTGGACGGCTTTCTGATTAGTTCATCTCCATACAACAGCTTTTCGCTGAAACGCCGTGAAAAAATCCAAAGCGCAGTCGACGGAGAACATCGAAGAATCAGTGACGTATCGAGGTGAAACATATTATTACATGACCATAGTGCAGTTTTGATTCTTTTCGTACGGCTGAGCTAAAATGGGAAACATAGACCGAGATAGTAAAAACGTCGATGTGGAATCTCAAGGAAGGAGTCATGGGCCAAAACTGCGTCACTCAGGAAAGGGAAGCTGAACTTTGGAACACTCCTCTGATAAACATCAGGCCTAGATAAAAGAAGTCGACAGGTAAAGGCCGGGTTCGAATCACGTACCTTCCAAACGGTAACTACGCGCTCTAACCACTGAGCCATCTCGCCCCTGTAGTTATAATAATAAGCCTGCTTGAGAGATTCTCTTCCAGAAGTAAATACAGCGGTCCTGGAGTTATGGGGGTTTGGGACGGTGACTGACGCACGCTGCACTGGATTTGGTTTGATTCTGCTGGACGGCTTTCTGATTAGTTCATCTCCATACAACAGCTTTTCGCTGAAACGCCGTGAAAAAATCCAAAGCGCAGTCGACGGAGAACATCGAAGAATCAGTGACGTATCGAGGTGAAACATATTATTACATGACCATAGTGCAGTTTTGATTCTTTTCGTACGGCTGAGCTAAAATGGGAAACATAGACCGAGATAGTAAAAACGTCGATGTGGAATCTCAAGGAAGGAGTCATGGGCCAAAACTGCGTCACTCAGGAAAGGGAAGCTGAACTTTGGAACACTCCTCTGATAAACATCAGGCCTAGATAAAAGAAGTCGACAGGTAAAGGCCGGGTTCGAATCACGTACCTTCCAAACGGTAACTACGCGCTCTAACCACTGAGCCATCTCGCCCCTGTAGTTAATAATAATAAGTATAACAATAGTTATTTAGCTGTAACACCCTTCCGATACCTAGTTTCTATGTTATCTGAAAGAATCACGAGGGGAGGCACTGCAAGGCTACCCAAGCCTAGATAGCAGCGGTCTAGATGCCGGAACTGGAATCAGACCACGGTCAACAAGTTCCTTAACCACTCAACCGTCTAGAGCTATTGAGCCATAGAGGCCTAAGCGGCTTCAGAGGCAACTGAGCAACTGAAAAATGAAACTATATCATAACTATTATGAGTAACGTGCTCAGACATCCCAATATCTCATCCGTAATGTGGAAACGCATAAACACTATGATGAAGTTCGACTTCAAATGGTATGACTGTAAGGGTTAAGAGATCCATCTGACGACTTGGAATGGAAAACTGATGTCCAACTTTGATAGCCAATGGTTATAAGGGGAAGCTTGGAAGTGGCTAGGAACAAGTCGGGATAACGCGGGATAACGCTTCCCACAGCGGACTGCCAAACCATGTCAAACTAAATTTATGACCCACCTTTCAACAGTTCCAATAACCCGACAGGAATTATTAAAACGGCCGCCCTTAATTATCAATTTAACGATTTTGAAGACTCCTAGAATACAACCCGCCAGGTTAGAAGAACCCAGTTCTACCCTTGGTTCCACTTATGCGTTATTACATTATTGGGACGGAATTTCAACACTGACGGGTTGTAGAATGACCGTAAGCAGAGCACATAACCGAGGCCCGGTGTCAGGGGAGCAACGTCGTCCCGGTAGAGTAACGCAGCCAGTTAACAACGAACTTCGTCACCAAGTTATAACTCATTCACAAAAATTCATAACAAATCGTTCAGTTGTACCACCCTTTCCGCACCTAGCTGTCATGCCAACGGAAGGAGGTACGAGTGCCGGGATACTGCCGGGTTGCCAAAGCCGAGACAGGAGCAGTCGATATGCTGAGCTGGGGTTCGAATCATGGACCCTCCGGTCCGTAAGCTAGCAACTTTACCACTGAGCTATCGCGAAGCCTATTACCTGAAGCACGGATCTCAGTGTTCTGAAGGGTGAGAATTCAGGGCGTTCCAATTTTCTCCAAGTTGTATGGGAAATAGGAGTGATACCCGGGGATTACCGAACTGGAGCGGAATCGCTAAACATTCCCAGTGATCAGTTGGATTATCCGTACTCCAAACATGCCAACCATGTCCCAACAATTACTTGAAGGGAGAGAAGAAATCTCCACCACAGGTACAATCACCAACACCCACTAACAAAACCAGAGAACGCTGTTTCATTGCCTCACGACCATGGCAATCTATCCGAAAAGAGCCTCAAAATCGGAAGACAATGGTATAGGGACCTAGAGCTAGCCTAACACAAACGTCCCAGGTGTTTGCAACGCCGACACAGTCAATATGGATAGAAACTGACACCATACATTCAGCTCACATTGGTCAGCCTCCGTGTCGTTCAGTGTCTCCAGCCAAGAACAGGGCCGGGCACTGGAGCATATCCTGAAAGGCGAACAGCACTAAAAGCGTCCAAATACTTCGCGAATTCCTTCAATCCCTTTTGTCGTGTTAAATTTTGTCCGAATCTAGGTTTCCGCCACTTCGAATTAGGCATGGATAACAACGCTATTCCTAGCAGGTGATAGCTCGACATCCAAAAAACGTCACGCCGCACCCATAGCTTGCAGTGTTGGATGCATTTATTCAGGGAATCACCATCATCATCATCATCGATAGCATGACATCAGTGTTCAACACCGATGCTTCACTGCCATACAACCATGACGTATTTGAAAGCCTTATTGTAAAGAAAAGAATAAAGGTGGATGGGGGAAGGACTTAGTGCTAGCTTAACACAATCATTCCGAGGTGCCTACACCTCCAGACATTCACTCAGGCAATCTGGATAGAAACTGACAACAAGAACGCCACTGACATCGGTTGGCAGCCAAATCTTGTAGTGTCTGCAACCAGGCACA